CCAAAGGCGGGTTTTCAATGTCCCCACAGCGTGAGAGTAATGTTAAATCTTCCATCTTTGAACAATTTTTCTCAGAAGCCCACGGGTTGGGAGCCAATTCAAGTCCAGGTTGAACATTTCCATGAAAGTGGTTTGTTGGAGCCCTGGGGCAAAAATGGCTTGTTATTCGTAGTTGAAAATGGTTGGGTATATTAAGAAATGCCAATACAAAGTCCAAATCCAAGTATCCTGTTATCGTGTTGGTTATTCCATTTAAAGCATATGTAAAAGGTACCTAACTAGTGCCGCACTCCACTAACCTCACCACAGAAACAGGAGAATGCGACGCCTGGTTTCATTCGTTGGAACTCAAAAAGGTCCCACTTTCCGTCACATCGGCACATGACCGATGTTACTTGCAATGTAGCCATGCCTTGCGTGACCGCGAGCTGAGAAAAAGCAAGATGGTTCCACAAACACTTGGAAAAAGTAATGGCCAACAAGTGACCAGAGACGTGATGTCGGCGCATTTGCACCTCTGGCGATCGGATTGTCCGTAGCACTGGGACACCGTGCTGGGGGTAAGCACACCGAAGCATCTACATCCTCCGTTCGAGCCTGAGTGCCGTTGTTTTCTTCGAGCTTTACGGGGTGCGTGTATTAACCCGGCTCGGCCCGGGTTAATACCCGACCGTCAATAGCCTATGAGTTTCAGCCAGGAAGCGATAACATACCCCTCCGTGGGGAGCGCGGGAGAGGAAGTTGAACTGCTGTGACTTGAATGGCGCTGGAGGTGCCAAGTCTTTGAGCGAAATGGAGGACTCATAACTCGGCGAGCGGCGTGGGGAAAAGGGGCGGCGGTGGCGGGCTGCAGCGGGTGTAAGGGGAGCGTGCAGGGGGGGCGGTTTCGTCGGTAAGGTGCTGGGTGTCTGCAGGGTGAAGGCAGCTTCAGTGCGCCGGGGGGTTAAGGGGATTATCACGCAAACTAAAGGAAAGGAATAAGGCAAGACATGCATAAGAGAGGGAAAGGGCCAACAAGTGAATTGGGCAAAGGGGAAAAAGAACACATGAAAGATGGTTTAATGTGAAACGAGTTTGCACACAAAGTCAATGAAAGATGTAATTCAAGGGTGTGGAGGGGGAGGGACATGAGGGATGGATAAGGACAGGTCTGCACATGACTCTTAATTTCTTAAGAGCTGTTATGTGCGGTTATCAGCAGCAGATGCTGCTGTGGGGATCTGACGGGAGGAAGGAGGGAGAAGATGAGGCAGGTCATGAGAGAGATTCTCTCATCTATCCGAGGAAGGCTCAGAGGAACTGGAGGAGAACCAGGAGAACTAAACTAGACCAACGGAGAAAAGCAAAATCTACAGGGTTATTTCATTTCTACTTTTTTAAGTAGCATGTAGTGTTGCAGCATGCAATGCGCTACTGGATATTGCTCATTTGTGACAACCAGGACACAATTTGTGATTTGTAGAGGAGCATTTGCCCTAAGCAAGACCTTATGGTGATAAATCCAAAAGAAGCCAATTCAAATCAGTGCCAGTGCTATTAAATGCATAATTTAATATTAATATACCATAGTTATTTGCAAAGTAAACTATAAAGCATGGGAATCAAGAATGCATTTGGGGAACATTAGGAGCCAGTTGTCCAAAATCCAAGCCTGACTATTATTACTATAATTTACAAATATGTCATCCATGCATTGGCACAACAGAAAAAGGTAGCAGGGAGAGGTAAGAGGTCAGCTAGACAGAGCTAAACTTTACCATCAGCCTGATCCCGGAAAACAGCGTTATCATCGGCAAAACATCTCGTGCCTGAAATGTTACCATAGTCAAATATTGGGCCCTCCAGTAAAGTGACAATATCCATCCGATTGACTTTGGTCAGCACTGAAGTTAAGGCATCCGCTGCGGAAAGAAGAAGGACAAAACAATTGCATTGAGTCATCTAAAAAAAACCCAGATGAAACAAGGTTTCGGCAGAAGTGCCGAAACCAACGTAGCGATAAGCCTTAAATGTAAGCACGGTGCCCTGGTTGATACGTATGAATATCTGAAAGCATAGAGGGATGAAAAACAGTCTCACTTGTGGCGTTCTTTCCTTCCCGACTGACCCATTTCTTAAGTAGCATGAAGCTCTGGGCTGTCAGAGAGTTGGGGTTTTCTAGCCTGACGTGGTTGATCTCATCCACTGTGAAGTTCATCTCCCGAGCCAACTCTGTGATGAGACAAAGACAGCAACTTAACACTTCCATGTACATTTAAATCACGTTGCAAAACTCAAGTCTGTAAACAAGATAAGCTGCATATATTCTTTATGAAGTCATCCTTGAGCCTGAGAATGGCAGTAAATAACAGGGTTTGAGAACGAAGAAAAGCGAAGAGAAAAAAAGATGCAATGCAGAATGCTTGTCACCTGTCCAACTGAGTCCCAGGTGATCTGCGACGATGGCCATACGCAAGTCTGTTCGCTCACAGGGACTCTGGGGACCTGAGAGGATGGAGGACAATGACTCATCAATAAGATTCACAGTCCCTCCCCTTATAGAGAGAAATAAACATGGACATCGTTTTCCTTTTCTGGCCACTCGTTCATCAGAATTCCAGCATGAATTTAAGGTTGTCTTTGAAATAATAATATTACTGTTAATTCTTAACATATTAGCGTTTTTGTAGCTATAATATAGGTTCCAATTATTTCCCCAGGATGGCAAGAAAAGGAGGTTTTACACTAGAGACGTTATGGGCGACATATGTTCATAGAGTAAGTGGTGCTCTGTGACTGTGGTATGTATCCTCTAAGCAGGCAGTAACTGTCATGAGAATCACACAAAACAAAGCACAACATAACTCTCAACAACAGATACGTTGCGCTACGAATCCATCTATGTTAGAACCTACAATGTCAACATGCGAAGACGCTTTTGTGTGTTCTAGTCAGCTTAAATGACAACTGATAGCATGAAAGATTCTGTAAGAACAAACTACAACAATAACTTGGTAGCCCCCCCTTTCCCCCCGCCCGCCCACAGATAGACAGACAGACCAGGGAGTCAAAAAGGGACTGGTTTTACCAGTGAACCAGTCACTACTACTGGCATGCTCAATCTACTATACAGAGATTTAAAAGGGTTGAAAGAGGGGAACAGAGAAAAGAGAATCTTGCAACAAGGACAATACAGTACACAGTACATCAATGACAAAAAAGAAAAGTTTAAATGACAGCTACTGTTCTGAAGAGAATATGTAAACACGCCACAGGCATTCCAGTCAATCCATCAAACGATCACAACAAGGTCATGCAACTAAAAGTGAAATATATATAATATATATAGATGTATTTTAAGCATAGTGTGAAAGTTTTACAAACTAGGCTTGATCTCCGCGACGGGAGGCGTTCGAGACCCTGTGAGTCCCTGACTGCCCTCCTTCCCACCAGTCCGCCTACTCCTCCTGCTCCTCTCACTGCCGGAGGCCCTGTCCGTCGTCGCCACCTTTGCCCTTACGGACGCGGCCCCGGCCTCAGCCCTCGAACCTCTACCAGACCTGGATGAGCGGGAGGGCTGGGAGGGCTGGGAAGGCTGGGAGGCGTCCGACAGAGAGGTGCTCCGGGAGGTGCTGTCTTCCTCCGACTGCTCTGTCTGCGTCTTTTTCTCCTCGTCTGACAGGCGGTCCACCAACTTTAGCGTCTCCCCGCTAATGCCTTTAAAGTATTCGATCGTGCGCTTACAAACCTCGCTGGGGTTCTCCTGTCTGTCCTGTCTGCACGCTCCCTCGGGTTTCACTTTGCTGACCTGATGTCTATCTTTCAGTGGTAACCTCGTGGGCAACTGTATGGCTGCTCTCCCTGTGTCCAATGCCCTTGTTGGCTGCGAGGGGACGCGGGCTGAAACAGGTGGACTGGCTGTGGCAGCAGGGCTGCTCTTTTTAACATCCTTGATTGGTATTCTGGACCTGGGTTCTACTTTGGCTATGGCTGGCTTTTGTCTCTTCCTGACCTCGACCTTCACTGCTTGTTTGGGCTTCTGTTTGCCTATGGCTGTTCCCTGCGTGTGAAATGACCAACCCGAGGCTTTAACTGGTAGCCTTGACTTGGGCTGCTTCACTTCACTGTCTTTGACGGTTTCATTTTTCTGCTCCTGCACTTGACCACTGCTGGTTACTTCCGCTCCCTCCTCTTCATCCCTGCAGCCCAGTGTCTCTATCCTACTAGCTTTTTGAAGAGTGGGCTCAGAGGAGGACTGCAAATTAAACACCACACTACCGCATTGGATGTAGTTGGCCTGAACACTGGAGGCCTCAAGGTTATTGTTGTTGTTGCAGTTTTCAGAGGGGAAATCTTGTCTCTCTAACTTCGGCCCAGTGTGTCTGCTAGTCTGGCTTTCTGTACCCTCTATACTGATGTATTCTGGCACTATCTGACCCTCTGTCACCTCAGCTTTACAATTGGTGAGATCCCCAGAGTCTTTTTTCACAGTTATGGAGGCAGCTATGCCCATCTTAATAGGAGTGCGTAATTTGGGATCAACCTTAGAGGCTGTGATTGTGCATGAGGAGGTTTCAGCTATGGCTTCACAGGTGGGGGCATCAGTACCGCCAGACTGTGCAGTACAGGATTTTGCTGTTGTTGCTGCTGGTGGTGGTGTTGTTGTTGTTGCTGTTGTTGTTGGTGGTGGTGGTGTGCTGCTGTCTGTGGTAGTATCTATAACCTTCTCCCCTGACTGAGAGGAAATTACCCCCAGGATCTTGCCCCCTCTCCCCTTTTCCCCTGTTTTAGGGTCAGAGGAATGCTCACCAATCTGGAAAAACTGAAGCCTCTCTTCAACAAAGTCCCGTTTGCTCATGTCAATAGCACCACTGCGGGTCATCTCAAACATCTTCCCTTCGTGGAAAGGGAAGGGGTTAGGCTCACTAGTTGGTGTGCTCTCATCAGTCGGTGTTCGAGCGGGGGTTGTGTCTGGTGTTGTAGCCTGTGATTTGTCGTCCACCGATAAACCAAAAGGTTTTGGGTCCTCATCTTTTGTTTTGGACTCAAAAACTCCGTCGCTATCGCCCCCTTTGGTTGACCAGGGGTCAAAGTCCAGGCCTTTGGTGGCAACAGTTTTAAAGGTTGAATTCAGCTCCTCTTCAAGTTGATAGCCAAAGTAGTTATCTGCGAAAGTCTGCCTTTCTGGATGTCTTCCTTCAAGGGTATAATCTTTCTCCTCTCCACTGGCTGAGGTTTTAGCCATTCCAGTATCCCCCCCTTCTTCACATTTCTCTTCCTCTATCACTTCAAGCTTAGACTGATTAAAGGAGCGGTCAGTGGTTTTGCCGTCATTGGACAGACTAGACGTTTTAGGGTCCTCACTTAGTCCGTCATCCTCATCCTGAAGGTCATACCCATCTAAAGAGTCAATTTCAGTAGCATCTGTGTCATGCGAGAACTCAGCAGTGGATGCTATGGAGCAGTCTGTGACTGACTGGTCATTGCCATTTTGGTCAAAGTCAGCATCCTCCTCCTTTACGACACCATTGATCTCAGACTCCCTACTAATCTCTTTTTTCTCTGATTTTTTAGGCTGTTTCTCTCCCTCTTCTTTCATTTTGAAAGTGTACTTTTTTAGAGGGATGGGATGGAAGACAGACTCATCATCACTGGAGTCACTGTTATCAGCTCCAGGGGGAACAGGGGATGGAGGCTGGACCCTGATAATAGGCTCTGCTAAGAGGTGCCTATCATGCTCCTCTTGGAGGTTCACCTCGATCATTTCTGTCTCTGCCTCAGAAGAAGCACAAGAGCCCCTTTTCTCAGGGTCGGACTGCTCTGCTTCTAAAGGAGGAGGAGGTGGGAACTCGATGTACGCCACTCTTTTGCCCCTTGTCTTTTGTCTCTCTGTATCCTGTTTTCTACTGGGATTTTCTGAGAGAGCTGGCTTTGATTTTTCCTTCGAGGGCCCCTTGTAGATGAAGGTCTTCCCTTCTTCCTCCTCAGATTCCTCTAGGATAGGGCCTGGCATTGCAGGCATAAATCCTATCACAGATTCTGGTATTCTTGAGGCCAGACTCCCTTCCTCGGAGCTGAGGGTCTCAGGGGTAACAGGACTTTTCCTAGAGCTGTCCAAGAAAGTAACTTGTTCTAGCGTGTCATCTTCGGGACTCCCTTGAGGAGATGGAGGCTGCTTCTGCTTTACAGTGTAAAATGCACCCCTTGTCTCATGCACTGTCCTACTCTCATGGCTTACGATCTTTTTGTATGTCCCCAGCTGCCCTGAGGCCGTTTCTTTTTCATACTGCTTTCCTACTTGGATGCTAACATACACAGGTAAGGGTGTAATGTCTTTGAAACCCTCTGTGACAACTACAGGAGTTAGTTCATCCAAATACTCTACTTGGTCACTATCAACACCGTTACACACGACATTCGACAGGCTACCGTCGGATGAGTCAGTGGATTTTCCTAGTGATGATCCACGAGTAGACTTGTTGGATTCAGAGCTACTGTGTAACCGATTTCTAGTTAAAGTTGGTATATGAGAGCCTGTCCTCTCATGGGGTTCAACAGAGGCATCTAATTTTAAAGTGGTGGATTTTTGATTTTCGGGGAAATTAGATGGCTTTCTTATAGGAATTTGTGATTCCGAGTTTTTTTTTAGACTATCATTGCTATTTGGACTTTCTCGGACAACAAATTCTGTGTAGATTATTTTCTTGGTAGTTTCTTGTATTTGTGAATCACTATTCTTGCTGTCTTTTATAGAATCTTGGATTAGAGACGGAGTTAATTTGGGGGACTGGGATTTATAGTTCCCATAGTCTTGACTCTCCCATGCTTTGAATAACGTCTTCCCTTCCTGATCTTTTTCACTGGTCTCGTGCTTGGTTGAGAACTTGTTTGATTCGCTATCTAGACGTCTCCTCTGGTTTCCTGGACTGTCTGGTGTTTTTGGAATGTTTGGACCAGCGAACACCTGATACACGGGTAGCTTAGTTTCCTGGAGTTTCCTGATAGGAGGATTTGAATTTTGGCCACTCTGAGGACTCCTATCTTGCTTTTGTGCCTCTTGTTCAAACTTTAACCTCACAGCACTCACTTTCGACGAAGACATTTGAAAAGGTTTGGGGCCTTCACCTGTGCTTCCCTGTGACTTAGTATCTCCTGTTTTTTTTGGGTCTGACTCGCTGTACTGCGGCAATACTCTCCTCTCTGGACTGCTCGGCAAACTGGCACATTTTCTATCACCGGAGCTGAACCTGTCTCGAAGCCTTTCTCTACTCCATTCTTCCCCACTACCTCCATTCCTATAAGCTGACCTTTCTGGACTGCTGTGTGTGGAACTGGGCCCGGATCGAGATTCTCTGAAGTCTGGTCTTCGAGACTTCTTTTCTGGAGACAAGAGCTCATCGTTGAGCTGTTCGGTTTTATCACGGAAGAATTGAGATACCTCACTGAGTTTTTCCTCCGCCTCCTTTACAGTCCTGTCCACTCTGTCCTCATACATGAGCTGTTCTCCCTCCTTACTCTTTGTGTCCTCCGACACACGCATCCAAACGGATTGTTTCGGGCTGCCAGGCTCAGATGAATACTGCAAAAGCGTCAGTTTGTCAAAGTTATCGTCGACATTGGCCATTCTTCCAGATTTGTCAAACACATTTCTGGACGACCTAAAGACATACTCTGTCCTTGGTGCAACTGATCTACCCTCACTGTGAGTGCTTCTGTCTGGCGAGTGGAAGCGAGATCTATCCCTCAGATATTCCTCCGTATCAGAATGAGACTGGTCAAATTTCTCAGAGAGCAGCATTTTCTCTGCAAAATTATAAGATTCTCCCCTAAGCTCTGAGGCTTCATCCTCATTGTACTCTACGGATTGCTGGCTTAATAGCTTCAGTGCTTTGTAAGATTCATCTGCCAAGAGCTGGGCTGAACTAGGACGACTGTCTTCCTCTTGGGACATGGGTGTGTGCACTCTGGGGCAGTCAAGGTAAACTGGAAGTGATTCTTCAGGCTCTTCGTCTTCCTGTCTAGTTCCTGGGTAGTAATACATTTCCTTCTCCGCATGGTTTTTTGTCTCTCTGATGATGACCTCTGTTGGTTCTGTTTTACTTCCCTTTTCAATGTGAACCTCAATTATTCTTTCAACCTTAGGTTTGGAGTGTATGTCCTCGAGGACCCGTTGAGACGTTTCCTCATTGCCGGTCTTGTGTTCAAACAGCCCAGCCAGCTCTCTAGAAGGGTCTTTGCCTGACTGAAAAGCCTTCATTATATCATGTACGGACATAGTTTCCTCACACCTTTCTGATGCTGTCTCTTTACCAGGCGGTTTGTGGTACACCATCCTGGTGGTGGTGGTGATGTGAGTCTCCTCCTTTACCCTCATCCCTTTCCCCATTGGATCCTCATCTGGGCTGACTTTTATTGAATAGCATTTATTCTGATCTGCAGTAGATGAAGCTTGATGCCCTTTAGAATCTGAATCAATATATCTGACGGGATGTGCATCCTCCATTGCGGGTTGTTTATTATCCTCCGGGGGCTCGTAGCTCCTGATGACATGGACAACCTCAGTCCTAGTTTCAGTGATTACTGGGGGAACTGGGATATCCTGAAAAAGGGCCTTGGGGCCCATGCCCTCTGCACTCTGAGGAGCAGAGGGTGTCCTTTCACTACGGGTCTCGAAGCCACTATCGGAGAGGGGGCTTTTATCCTGTTCATGTGAGATATCATCAGGGGAGTCTAGCACAGTGTCAAAAAGTGAATCTGCTACTTTACTGATCTCTTTGTCTGAAGGTGATGAGCGCATGTTTGTTGGAGGCATTTTGAGCTTATGCTCCTGAACTGCTATGGTGGGTTTGAGGACGCGTTTCTGCTTCTCCTTGCCCTGTCCTTCTCTCTTTCCCTCATCTGCTTTATGTTTTGTGTCATGCGTTTTGGAGAAAGAGCTGCTGCCAACATCATTGGCCAGGTAGTCAACCACTTTGGAGAGATTGAAATCTCTATCTGGTATGGTTTTGGACTTGGCTTGAGGAACGACGGTCTCATATCTTGGTGGATAGCTCCAGTTGCTTGGCGGTTGTTCGACTTGTACTTTTGAGAAGTGTATGTCATCCAAAGAACCTCTTGCAAGGGAAACTCTTCCATCCTTAATAGCATCTTTGGTGAGAATTTCACTCACTTTTACCAAATCCTGCTTTACTTTCTCCACAATTCTATATGGCTCCTCATCCTCTGCCCGAGCCTCTTTAGGGGAATCTGACTGAAATCCTTTGTTAGCAGTGGAATTGGGGTCTGTCTGCAAAATGGCTGACATTCGTATCAAGTCCTCTTTCATTTCGGCCACATCCTTCAGAATCTCTTGGCTCGACGAAAGAGGCGACGCGGTATTTGATTTGGGGCCAGCAGAAAAAAGAGGCGATTTGATTGGGGAGAGAGTTCTGGCAAAGGAAGACTGCATGTGAGCGTTCACCTCAACGGGCACAGTCTTCCGCGGGGACAGAAGGGCAACAGCTGACTTGGACACCTCAGGTAACTTTTTAAACTGGGGCTCAGGCAGCACATTAATAACACTGTACACTGGGACAGTCGTTGTATTGGATGTTACAGTAGTGGTGGTGTTGTTGGGAGGGGATCTCAGGGAGGCATAGAGGGAATTTGAAGCCGATGATCTAATGGACTGATATGAGGAGGATGCTGAAGAGGACATGGACTTTAAGGTGCCATAGCCTGCAGAACAAGAATTAAATGTTTTCTCCACCTCATCAAAAGCTGCATTGACACTTGTAGTCGCAGCGTTGGTGGTTGCTTGTATTCTCTCTTGAAGACTGCTCGCGAGAAGAGACGTGGGGGATGAAGAGCGGTACTGCGTAGGTGACACAGTTCCATTGATCAGAGCTGCGGCACTCGGTGGAGTGTTGGATTTGAGTGGTGACGAAAGGGAGGAGAACAGGTTTCTTGCGGGGCCAGTGACGTCTGCGGCAAAAGAACGCACAGAGGAGAGACCGGGGACTGTTTTTATGGGCGAGGAGGAAGATCCTGTGCCACAAGAGCCCCCCATTACGGTCTTGTATGACAGGGGTGAGCTGAACATACTCAGGGAAGATTTGGGAGAGGTTGGAGGGGTCATGCTTTTTGAAGTTCTCTCAAGAAGTGGGCTTCCTGGTCCAGAGACAGTTATAGGTGAGGTCCTAGCGGACAATGCTGCCAGTCCTTTCATGGATATAGTATCTGGGGCGCTTCTACCTGGTGAGGCCAGGGGACTGTGGCTGACCTGCCCTGGGTACTGGGCTTGCTGGACTACAGTTTTTATGGGAGAGGAGATGGTTCTGTAAGATCGGATGGGAGAGGCCATGTCGCTAACTGACTTTACGGAAGAGGCAGGTGATCCCGGGATGTTTGTCTTGATGGGAGAGGCAGAGTTGATGGACCAGACAGACTTTAATGGAGAGGCAGAGGGCGTGTTGGATGACGAACTGGAGAGGGAGCCAAACCCAGACTTGGCTTGGCAAGGGACGGCGACAGGAACAGGCGACCACGCCTGATAAGATCTCGTTGAAAAGACAGGTTTGTGAGGGTAGCTAGAAGGCTGTGTTCTCGGCGAGCTTCGATCAGTTGTTTCTTCAACAATAATTTAAATCATAAACAATAAAATAAAGTAAACGGAAAATGTAACGGAAAATAAGTGAAAATAAAAGATAAAAACCAGAGAGAGAAATTTGAGTCAGTCAGAAACTGCAGCATTTTCACAACAGCAAGACAATGTTTTACACAGGAATTGTATGAAAGGCCCCCAGTTAAAAACCCAGGATGATATGGCAAGTGATGGTCTAAAATCAGCGAGTAGTCACAAGACATAATAAAGAACAGAGCAGGTATTGGAACAAAATGTTTGACACGTGGTAGACTTGACAAAAAAATGACATGATAACCAAAAATTACAATTCCATTGACTTCTGATGTGCTTTTATCTATTTGCCTCCTTGCAACAGTGCCTTTTACGGTACATGTTTGATTGACATGTGTTCATTTGGTTCATTTTCAATGCCAGAGATGACCCCACAAGTGTATATCATTAGTAAAAAAATCACTTCACTTGCTTGGTCATGTATGAAATACGAGGTTGCACTTTACAAAAAAGGTAACAGTAAATTCACTGATTCACGCCTGTCCAGCATGATCTGCAAATTATGACACGTTTGAATTGTCTCTGTTCTCAGTTGAATCAATATTTCTCAAGACATACCTATATAATATAAATTGTATCAGATTGTTTGTAACAACATATTTCTTTAAGTAATAACTTCAAAAGAAACACAGACTTGTAAAACCTCTGTGTTATACTTGCACTAGCAAGGACTAAATGAAGGGAGCGATGTAAAGTGCAACCTGTTACCACATTAATATACACAGCCGCACACAATCATAAAGCCAATAAGAGTGAAATGGCCCGTAAAAATAGGAGAACAATTCAAAAGAATAATTTTATTCAACATGAATCAAAACATGTTTTGCTGGAATGATGGATGAAAAGACAGACATTGATTCCCAGTGTTTCCACAAATGTAAAATAAAAAACAAAATTGAAACAGGAAGACTTTTTGTCAACACGGAGTGGGTAAGCGAAGCGTGACACACAGTAAACCATGCAAACGTTGGATGAACGACAGATGTATGGAGTATGTATCAGGTGGATAAAATAAAGGATCGATGAACAGGTAGACCTCTTTCTATACTACGGCTATATGAAAGATAATGTGTGGAGGGACCTTCAGACACTAAAACTAAATCAATTCACATTAACATCTGAATTCAATAAAAAATGCAATGCAAGTAAAAACGGGAAACTCACTCGCTGCTGGGTCGGTCAAATAGCTGTAGCGCTTACGCAAAGCTAAGGAGGCAAAGGTATGACGTCGTTCTGGCTTTTCAGTCTGAAACAAACAAAAAAAGAACAAAAGATGCTTTAACATAAAAAATATGGTGAAATGTAATTTCTGATCTATGAGAATTAGGTATAGATGTTAATGTTAATTTGTTTAGCTCAGATTCCTCAATGGACAAAACTCGTCGTGTTTTTAGTGAGTCAGCACATGCTGTTAGTACGGGCACGAGGAGACACTGCAGGTGTGCTGTAGTGCCTCCTCTGGAGAGTAATGCGTCTCTTCACTCACTGCATTGCTCAACGTCATAGCTTCACACCAAATGTGCTTCGTCTGTATGATCTACTTCCGTACGTGGTCAGCAATAGTTATGCTGGGTGAAATTAATGTTCAATATTAGGACGGTGAAACGAAGCTTATACTGAACTATTCTGCAAAATGTATTTTACTGCATCATTCAATGCCACTGCAGTTAGTAGCGTGGCCTTTGTGAAATAAGGTATAAAGTAAGGGGGCTGAGGTTGGAGCGAAGAATGTGTGTTTCCCTTTCATTTGCTCCGTCTCACAATAGATGATTGTTTTCTATTGAATTCTTACGGGGGGGGTTTTGTTCTTGCATGATAATGGATAATGATCAGAACTAATATTGGTGAAAAGATTTAATCCCGCAAAAGCAGAAAAAAATATTAATGTCTAACTTTATGGCAGTTTTATATCCCTATATTTAGGGACTTCAGAGCAAGTAGTAGCTGTGGCATTAAAGATTTTTAAAAATGCGGTTACTGAATATATCTGGGTTTAAGAACTTTTTGAAATGTCCAATAGCGACATTCTGTTGGGCAGATGGGACATTACATTTATGTAGAAGTAATATAACAAACGTGGTCACAATAATGTTTAAAGTATTAAAATTAAAAACGGCCTCATGTCCCTTCAGTTAAAGTCGCCTATAAATGTTTTGACACGCAGCTGTGAGAGTTAGTCAGTTTGTCTGTTGCGAACAAGCCGAGGACAACGGTGAAGAAGGGACACCTCCAAAACAACAAAACAACGACTGACTAGACGAATGATAAGGTCTCGGGTTTCATCTGAAGCCAGTATCGTAGTCCTGCGTGAAACCTCCTGTGAGTTAATAGTACGGATGGGGACATGGTGATTTCCTGTGGGACATGTATGGAGAGGAAGATCGAGATGGAAAAGAAACTGAGGTGTGGCACAGCAACCGGCTCCACTGCACTTTGGGATGAAGACAACAATAAATAAGCCCCTGCTGATTAAAACAGCTGCCATTTCCACTCATGCAATACTTCTGGAATCGCGTAGCTGTGTAAAAAAACAAAAAAACATGCAGTCCGAAGCGTCTTTCACACCAAGGTACTGTACAGAGACAAAATATCGCGGCACGCATATTTACTACAGCATCTGCAGTAAAGCCAACGGAAAGGACGACAGAGAAGAAGCAGTTCCATGTGATGATGAAGAATCTGTTTTACCTCATCATCAGGATCAGACTCCATATCCTGTGGTATTCCAAGATGCATTGCCGGAGAGGGGAGAGATGACACAATGGAGAGCAGGGACGTTATAATGAGCGGGGAGGTGGAAATAAAATTCAGGGGATGAAAATGGAGCAGCAAAAACAACAAAAGGCATCAGAAGAAATCTACGGGATTAATACCAAATAAACAGCAACGTAAAAAAAAGCGAAAGCAAAATAAGTTCAGTTTCTTGTGATCAGACGATACCACAACAAACAAACAGATGAGAAGAGTCGTCTTCTTGCATAATTGTTATGTACCCACAATGAGCCAGGCAATAGAACAAAGCACGGAGTGCATGTGCGGCTGCATGTGTACGTTGTGGGGTCTCATGACTGGCACAGGCCTCAACGCTCAAACAACACTAAAGACACAAGCAGCAGGCAGTCATTTCTGGACCAAATGAACTTCAGTGGCTCCCCTTGATGTCCGGACAACATCGCCTGCTGTATTTCAATTTCATTTACATGTTGATGAGATGATATGGCGTAGAATAACGAGCTATTCAAACACGGGGACCCTACCTTCTTGTGGGTTGGCAGTGTGATATTCAAATTGCATATGGCAGCCTGTGGATGGCCTTTACTGGATTTGGGCTCTTTCAGGAAGGAGAGGCGACCACATAGCTCCTGGCCCATATCTCTGACCTGCAGAGGACAGCAGCAGGACATGCAAAGTGAAAAATGTGTTTAAAAAAAGTAGCAGAATGAACATTCCTTCATTTGGAAGCTGGATATAGATTTAAGAAAGTAACAGCAGAATGCATTCAACTCGTAATTCTTTGCCATCCAAAAAACTGGGTCATAAATTGAGTTAGTATGCAGCTCTAAACATTTACTGCATCGACTGATTACTAGAGGATGATCTAACATGTCTGACGTGAGCTAATTAGCAAATAATTGAGAATAAAATCCAGGAGCGATTGAGGAGGTTTCCTTTTTTTTTTAAATTTACCTTGACATGGAAAGGAAGCCGGTTTTCCTTGAAGGAGAAGAAGTTAAACACCAGCTGTTGGCCACTTTTGGTGAGAGGGGACAGGTTGCCGTAGCAATCCACGTGGATGGGCTTGCCCTCAAGCACCTGCAGAAGTTCACAGACAGTCATGAGTTTGATGAAATTGATGTAGACAATTTGTTCTCTATCCACACAAAGTCGCAACCCCACCTCGATGTCTTTGCTACGGGCCACTTCCTCAAAGTTCTCCTGCTGCTCGAGGGTCTTGTCCACTTTGTCGTCCGTCATGCAGAAGCAGCGCAGCCGAGCCTCAACCGGGTCGTTCATCTTGGCGAAGACCACAAACTTGGCCAGGTACGGCACGCAGATCAGCTCCCGGTATAACTGAGACGCTAGACTCACCGTCTCAGGAATCTGGTGACAGTCTGCGAGCCAGAACCTGTGGAGGAGAGAAGAGGAGGTGAGGAGGGACACAAAAAAAAATTTGCTTACTTATGAGAAAAATTTACAGATGAAGAGCTTAAAGTTGGAAACTCTGCACATTTGAGCCTTTTTTATCACACTAAAACTTAATATATTAAACAAACTGGGTTAATTCTCTGAAGAGTAAATACGAACACACGACAGCTACGTAGAAATCATAACAGAGTTAGTAGATAACTTTAGCAGTAAAAGTCTGCCTGCACACTTGCCACATGGTCCCAGTCTAGTTAGGATGAGAAGTTCCCTTGCCGAGGTAAGTTAGGTAGCAAGCCTCAAGAAATATGGTCAACGTGACTTTATGTAGATGCATGTAGCTGCAACTTGTAAGTATACAGAGCCACAGAGAGAACCGGTTCAAGCTTACTCAATTAAATTGTTAAGCGTGCACGTCACGTTATATTGGTATATGGTATAAATATATATATGGTAATATATAGTTAAAGTCAGTCGATAACATGTAAAGTCAGACATGTAGGGAACTTGCCCTACTTATGGATGTAGTAAAGACCGGACTGAGAAACAATGCAATGCTCAAGTTATTAAAACAGCCCCAATAATGTGGACATTTCATTTGTTATCCGTTTATCTTGAAAGAGTTCAACATCTAAATAGAGGCAGGGATTTGATTTTGAATGTCAAATCGTGGCATCTCCAGGTCACCAACAGGACCAAAATTGAATTTCTACATGAAAACTAAGAGAAGCAAGACTTTCCCTGAGGACGGTACAGTGAAATGGACATCAATAAGGGGCTTTGATCAAACACATGGCACCCTGTCGTAACAGAGTGGTATGTGTACAGTCTGAGTCTCACCTGGCCGACACATTTGTGGTGAAGGAAACGCAATCGGTCACAAAGGACAGCGGCGTGGTTCCTGTGATGTCCTCCCACTGGGCCGGGGACGTCCCTCCTGTTTGCAACAAGGGCCAAAGATGACTTTCCAATCTTACCAGTTTGAGCTTTTTTATCTTCTCTTTTATTTATCGATTGTTGGCAACAATCAGATATTTGTCCTTTTAGTCTTTTAGATAATGTACAGTATATACAGAGATATTATGATGCACATTTTAGTTATGCAGATGAGAAGAAGATAGAGAAAAATAAATAAAATAATCTATGGTACACTTGTCGATTCATGAAAATACATTCAAGTCTATGGGGTGGTACCATTTATGTGAATATGATAAAATCGTTTATAGTAAATTTATAGTTGATAGACGCGGTTATCTTCTCCGTTTTATCTTGAGCTTTTATAATCCTCAAACCTTTCATCTTCTCAGCTCTTCATCTTCCCTCTATCGACCGATGGCTTTTGACATCAAAGTGGGCCTAATGTACCCGCATGGGGCCGACTTTGACGTGGGCACAGAGTCGTTGTGTCTCTGAGTCACTATCATTGCTCCATGAGAAACTAAATGGAGGACCGACCACGGTCACATTGATCAGCATCAAAGGACACAACGGCTGTCGACGGATGTGTATTAAGTAACCAAACGCTAGGCCTGCGGGAGCCTCTCGGATGGAGCTCCTGCTGCAGTCGTGTCGCGCTCTAGTTATCTGCAGGTCTCCTTGCCTGTGATGCTGCAGAGCAGACGCAGGCAGGGCGCAGCGTCGCCTCGGTGGCCGCTGGGATGGCCTTCTGCCGATCGCGGCGGGACGGGGATCGTCATGGTGATCGGCTTGTGGAACTTCCTCCTCCTGGGCTCCACGGTGACGATGGGGCTGAAGGTGGCTCGGTTCCCGAGCACCGCCCTCGCCATGTCGTCTGGCACAGGCTGCGCCTGGACAGAAACACAGACGCAGACGGCGGAAAGGTGTAAAGGTTCGGTCAAACTTTCCCTGCACCTTCTATGCAATGCAGGTGCGCGCCATCAAATATTCACCCACAAATGGGTCAGTTATATGAATAAATAACAGCTCAGTGGACAGTGAGTTGCGAAGCAAAAGCTGAGTCATGAAAAAGACGCAGGATGCAGATCTCTCGAGTCCTGCAGTACCTGCAAGCCGACACGGATCTTCTTGGTGAGCGCCCCCTGCGGGAACGAGGCCTGGACCATGGGCACGGTGCTGCTGGACAGCATGCCTCCGTCGGGACCCATGTGGTTGGACTCCTGCTTGATCCGTGACACCACGGCAAAATACTGAGGGAAATCGGTGGTGACGATGCGGCAAATGCGCTTCTTCTCCAACTCGGCAGGACTGTCCAGCTCTGTGACAGAAGATGTTACTCTCGTAAATGGGCTTTTTCGGCAACAGCTGACAGAGCCCTGGGTTATGTAGTTTATGTTTTCCTACAAGCCGTCTTTGTACAAACTAACATTAATAAGTGTCAACCAGTCACATATAAGAATAACCTTTCCTCTACCTTCATCCATTCCCGTGAGCAGATCAAACAGGTCTTCCGGCCTGGCGTCAGACTGGTGCTCCTTCCACGTGTCGCCATTTTCACTCCTCAACACGATGAGCTCCCTCTCTTTCCCCCGCATGGACCCAAAATGAGGGATCTCCACAATCACAGGGCTGGAAGGGACAACACATCACGATAAAACTGGTAATCCACGCCCGTCTCATGAGCCCCGACGCCCTGAAAGTTGGTATCAGGAAATATCTCAACATTTCATCACAAGGAAAAGGAAAATCCCCAGCGACCTACCCGAGGAACTGAGCCCCGGCCGGTCCGACCTCCACCAGCCGGCTGACCAACCCCTCTCCCTCCACCATGGGCGGAGGGTAGGCCAGCTTGTGCCTCTTGGCCAGGCGGCAGGTGATGCGCGTGGGCGCCGTGCACTTCCTGGGAGGGATGATGATGCGCATGCCGTTGTGGCGGCTGCCTCTCATGGAGCCACCGCGGGCGTCCACCATGAAGCTGACCAGGAACCTGCAAAGGGTAAAAAAAAAAGGAACGGCGTCAGGCGGACGAAAAGACACGGGCAGAAAGATAGAAGGAAGCTTTATCACGGACACAAGTGAGGAGGACGCTTCCCATGCTGTGATCACCGGACGCCCAAACAAAGTAGGGGAAAGAGAAGAATAACAAAAATAGAGATAGAACGATAAGAAGAAGGGGGAGGGGGAAAGATGCTTTTGGTTGTGAAAGCTGGCAGTTCTCACCTTCGCTTGTGCCTCAATCAGGAACGTTACAGTTCAAAACTAAACCGGGTGCTGATGACGTTGCAGAAAGTTTAGTTTCCACTCCTGAGGCTGAAGGTGAGACTGTTGCCACATTTCAGTTCCATCTAAAGCAGCGTTCGGTGATCAAATATTAAAACACCTGCGCGGATGTTTCACCAAGATAAGGTCAATGCGATCAATATGTGATGCGTCAGGTTTGGGCCATCCCATTTAATCAAGCAAAGAGTTAAGATGGAGTAGGATGGATTTGGAATGAGCAGCCCGTAAAGCCTAAAGCCAAACATAAAGCTGTTCTTTTCACTACCAGTGGTATGCTATGTACTGTATGGTTGCTTATAGTATAGTATGCTGCTGAAAATAGAAGCATCCCTGTAAAGCTTTGAGGAAGATATATTATGTGCACTGTGAGATGCCACATCAACGAAAAGCCAACACGTCGACTGTGCACACTTCTAATATCTAGGCTGTGCAAATGAAACACCAGACCACACGGATGAGACGAGCACAGAGCGGAGGAGGGGAGGCCCGAGAGGGGAGGAGAGAGTGTCGAGGTGAGAGGAGGACAGAGGTGGAGGAGTGAGAGCGGCGTCACTGCGGCGTCATGGGCGAACGCAGCGGACTCGTCGGTCATCACCTGGAGTCATACTGAGGGAGCGGGGAGGAGAGGCTGCAAAATAAACACAATGGAGGCAATGCAGGAGGCAAACCCCCCAGAATCTTGTTTTAGTATCAGGGTTTCGTTATCACTGCTGGGATCTGTGGTTACTATTAAGGACGGAGAAAAGATTTAAAACTGCAGAGGTGGAAAATCAGGGGGGAAACACAAGACACACTGACGACGAAATAACAATGAACAAAAAACAATAAATATGTAAAAAAAAAAAACACACACACAAGATCTGATTGTACGATAGTAGAACTAAACTGGGCAGATCCCAGAATTTCATTTCAAATTCAAACTATGCTGCGTTTTACAACGTCATATATTCAAAGTGAAACACACAGGCCGCTGTGCCGTGACCTCACACTGAGTCTGTTCTCTGTTTCCGTGATGACAGAAAGAGGGTCGGCGTACGAGAGGGGCGACATCTGGACCGTGTCTGTAGACTAGTGGTATGACACCAGAGCTTGGAGGAGGACAGACTGTGTCTTTTTGTTGCTGTAACGCAACGTGCACAATGGCAGCCCTTGCAGAAAGCCCACGGTGCTGAACGTTGAACAAAAACATAATACAACCGTCGTGTGCAGGATGCAAAGATAAATGTATAATTTACGCAATAGTTATGTGAATGTGCAGGCGGCGTACGCGCCAGCTCTTGAATGTAGCCAGTGTGTGTGTGTGTGTGTGTGTAATGGGACAGGACAGTGAGGCTGGTCTTACCCGGAGTGAATGGGACTGGACACGGTGTTGTGACTGTGGTCCACTGTGTCCGGGGTCCAGCTGTAACGCCGCATGTACTCGGAACCGTTTTCTCTGGTCACGGCCAGGTGCTGGAGACGAGAGCATCCGGAGGAGATGAGAGGAGGATGAGGAATACAGATGTGAAGGTAAAAAAAAAAGGGGACAGAACTAAAAACAACTTAAAATGAGGGGGAATTGGATGCTAACTGAGAAGACGAAAAAGAGCTATTCCTCAAGCATTGCACCACGAGAAGGTTTGCAGACACGTGAAGCTGATGATTCACGGCCTCAAATGTCAACAAACTTTGTCCCTATAATCTAAAGCCTCCTCCCAAAAGACACAATGAATGACGGAGCGAACGCAAGGCGACCATGAACGCCTCGGGAAAAAAAAACAGAAACCGGAAACCGGCTTTTAATAAATGATGATCGCTTCATGAGAACTCACGTGTACTGAAAGTCACATGGGGAAGATCAAAATACAGATCGGCGCTAATGAACGACATGAGAACAGCGTGGATCCGAAACAATAAAAATGAACAGAACTCGTGAGCGATGGAAGGTGAACCACAGTGAGTGATGAGTCGAGACATTCGGGAAGTCTTTATACCTTATTGAGAGGGTCGACCAAGTAGGAAATGTCTTTACAGACACTCTGAAGCTTCGGAAGGAGAAGAAAGACAGTTCAGAGGTCACACTGACGTCCAGACAAATGAGCTTATGAAGCTTTTTTTTCTCCACTGATTCACTTTCCATCAAAGGAAACACGATGCCGCCTCTGAGAGGATTAGATGGTTCTACAATTTGCTCTTTGGACGTCCCGAACATTTGCTTGAGTTGAACTAGGTGCATATTTTGGCCATGTATAGTTTGAGATCTTGGGTAATGATGTCATACTAGTTGTCGTTCATATCCCTAACAGTGTTTATGAGAGGAGGTCAGTTTCTGTTTGTGCTCCTGACCAACAGAACAAGCTGTGCAGAGAGAGCACTGCGTTTTGTTTTTCCAGGCGGAAGCGAAGAGGGGGCCTCCCGGAGCCCTTCGGCTTGAATAAACTCAAGGTGCTGGAGCCTCTCCTTCAGCACTTTGGCAAAAGACAGCAACCCGTCAACACTGCTTCTGTTATGACCTCCACGCAACACCAGTAAAACTACCCTCTTCCCCCCTCAACAGGCGACTGACAGAAAGAAGAGACATTAGCGCTTAACAAAAGACAGACCGCTGAAGATACTGAAAGGAGGGAGGAACAGGGTCGGAAATGGCAAGAACAGAAAGAGGAGGAATCGACCTTACCGTGTCCTTTGTGGGCGCCAGGATCTCCTCGATCATCATGCTGTCCCGCGCATAGGAGCTCCGGTTGAGCGTGTTGGACCTATCCGAACTGAAGGAGCGCAGGCTACACGTTACCACGCAACCCGGCGCCGTGGGCAACAACAAGTGACGGGCGGGGGGGAACACGACACACAAAACACAAAAGGCAAGGAATCCGTTACTACATGCAACCTCCAGGGAACACAGGGTTTCTTCTACTTACTGGACAGAGAGAGTCCAAAGGGTATAAGTGGAAAATAGAGAGGGAGGAAGGGAGAGGCCGAGAGATAGGAAACCGCAGCAGGTCACTCAGAGATGGAAATGTGAGCGACGTCAGTGCGTTTGCATTGATAGCGATGGAGAGCGAGAGGAGGAGACGCACAGGTGTGGTCGGCCAACTCCAAACCATGACGCCCAGCAGATTAGGGGACAGTACGTACGTGTGTGTGTGTGTGTGTGTGCGTGTCCGCATTGACAGTGAAGAGACAGTGAGGGATCAGACTCCCTCCCTTCTAAGATTAGCAGCTGACCTGGACCGGTTTCTGAGCAGCGCACACAGAAGGCAAAGCTGCGTTTTCTAGTCGTCTTGCTGCAGTCTGCTTTGTGGCTGTGTGTGTGTGTGTGTGCGCGTGTGTGTGTGTGTGCGGTGACGTGTGCCTATTCCTGCAGCCTCTCGGGCTCAATGCGGTGCTGTAGATTCCGTTCGGGGTTTTTTTTCCTCTAATCCCGTGCTTCTCTCCGAGCCGACGTCTCGGTTCAGACATTTACCTTCTACATTTCACACACAAACGGGGGCAAAGCAGCCGTCTGCGAGCCTTATTCTGTGTGCTGTATGCGTGGGTTGATGTACCCTGCGTGTGAGGGAGGGGGGAGAACGGGTGAGCGGGAGGGAGGGGGGGTAGCTCATGCGCAGCTCATCGTGTTGTGGGCAAACTATTCGAGCCCTTTATTCAACCGAGGCTGCGCAATCCGCCATTAAAGTTACCAAACAACTCTGTACGGCGCGAACGGACTCGCTGGCATGGCGGGACGACGCTACCCTGCCCCCCCCCCCCCCCCCGGCCCTCAGCCAGACTGTTCTACCTCTATTTGTTCTTCACAGCTTCTTCCTCTCTCATATTGTGTTCATCCTCCTCTCCTCCTCCCTAAACACTTGAACTTTACTCTAATTATCGCGGTTGTCCTCTTTATTCTCATTCACTTCAGCACGTGGTGCCCCCCCCCCCCCCTCTCCCCTTCATCTACCTCCTCTGTTGTTACTAATACTCCACTGCACTGGTTTAGCCAACAGTTCAACTCAATGCCGGACTCCCAAAGTTGAATCTTTCTGTGAATCTTTACAACTTTATTTATCTGGCTGGCGTCTCCATGGCAGCACCAATGGGCCGGTGTCTTTTGGCGAGGCGGCGGCGGCGTGGACAATCGCTTCGGGTTGTTGTTGCGTACATGTGAGCGGTCCTAAGCGTTGGAGCAAACTTCCCCCCCAAAAATCTGAGGCTCTTAAGTTTCCATCTCTGCGAACCAAGATTTAACATCGGCGTTGTCGATCCTGAACCGACCTCCAGTGACTCTCCTTCAAATGGAGGAGATAAAAGGGGTGGATATTTGAGAATAGCGATGGGTTTGATCCCTGGAAGTTACACCCAGTGGCAGGACACAATTCTAAAGTGCCACTTGAGAACAAGCCACCTTAGAAGAAGTTACAGAACTATTCAACACAACTCAAACTGAAGAAAAGTCTGCAAAAAAAAAGCACATGTGGCTTCAGTCCTCTCATTCCCAGGAAGCTTGATTCTTTTTCACAGCCTGCTTTTAAAAAGGGACGGGACAGAAAACACGGCGAAGGCTGTTCGGCTAAAATGGAGCGACACAAACACAACGAGTGACGGCGATCCAAGGGGACAAATCAGGATGGAAACACTGGATGACTCGTGGTTTGGGTCACAACAAACAGCCGTTCATGGGTGGGGAGGAGAAGGGCGACATCATTCACAGCTAATGTGAAGGGGGGATGGGGGGGGGGCGACATCATTCACAGCTAATGATGCTTACTACTTCTACGACTACTACTCTGTGCTTACCTGAGTCTAGGGCTAGAATGACGGTGCAGGAAAACAAGGAAAAGGACAAAATAGAAAATAGAGTGAAAAGCGAAGCATTTTGAAGACACTCAAGCGTGATGCGGCTTTCATTGTTTTGTTTTCTTCCTCCATCTGCTTCTGCGTGGTGGTCAGTCAGAGGGAAAACCATGCAATGTCAATGTCATGCGCGGGAAAAAGCAAGGAACAGGAAAGAATTCACTCAGCATCATACGTTTGTTTATCAATAAATTGCAACATTCACCCAATTTTAAAATCTATTTCAGCCGTTTGTCTCCTTCATGAGCCATCACACAAAAGCAGCAGCATGAAAGCGTCAGTTGAGGACTGCGTTCTAATTTGCAGCAGATGGAGATATCATTTTTAATGATATACTTTCTCTTTTGTACCCTTAAATAACAAAAACTAATAACTAAAACCTCAATTCCTCAAATGTGGAGTTATTTTGAGTTCAAACATGCCTGTTTACGGAACACCTCCAATTTCCATTTAATTCCGGGTTTGCCGTGTTTTTCTAGTAAACCCGCTGACTCGAGCGGCTTCCCGTCACAGTTAGTGTTGTTGTTTTGAATCAATCCGGCCATCCCAGTACATCCGTCCGTCCGTCCGTCTGTGCTACACACTCTGTGCTGTGGCCGTGTTTTCACTGGAGCCCAAACTTTGTGCCGGTGCAGAATCCGGATGAGCAGCTGTTCCCCAGGAGGATCGAAGGCCTCGCGGTTCAAGAGATACAGCTCACACCTCTCGTACTACGCTCTACGGGGCCGCTGGGAACCGTTGCCTCGGCTTTGAGCGAGGGCACATTAAACGCTGCATCATTTTGTCAGGTCGGATCACCGGGTGGCAACTTTCCAGCTGCTTTCTCCTGCGATTTCCATTTTTCCGTTTTAGTGTGTGTGTGTGTGTGAGTGGGAGGGCCTTTACGTCATGTGATCTCACCCTAACAAATACCATCCAATACCACAATATTAGGAAATCAGCACTGCACCGTCCGATGACCTGTCCTGTGATGTTCAGAGCACAAATGACAGGTGCTCACCTGGCTGAGCGGGCTCCTATGCTGAAGCCCATGTAGCCCTCCTGAGGGAGAGAGTCGTCCCCCAGCTCCTTGAGGTCCTGGGGCCGCAGGTATTTGTCCGTGTCCCCGGTCAACGCATCCTCACCTGGTGGAGGTAGGAGGGGGGGAAGGAGGAGGGGTGAGATCACAAAAAAAAATCTGTCCCGTTAACTTCAATATGTCTATACGGCCAAAACAGGTGATGCGGCACCTCAGCAAGAAAAAAACAAAAAACACAAGTCTGCCACTTATTGGATCATGGCGCTCAGAGGAGGCTGGTTTATCTATCAACTGTTTAACCCAACATAGCCCACTGACACAACAACAACAACATGAAGCTGGAGGGACCCTGCAGTAACGATACCTGATTTCTGTTTTAGAGGTTAGACAGTCAGTTTGGATGAAAAAAATTAATAAAAAAAAAACATCAGAGGCGACAACAAGGCCTCTTTTCCCTGATTTCTGGAGCTCTGCCGCAAAACCGAACGCAGCTCCTTTCACAACAACATCAACACTCACAAGAAGACAGCGACCGACAGAAGGCACGGGCGCGCAACAAACACGCGGGGACGCGCAGCGCGCAGAAAGCCGCAGCGCAGCGCACCTCGATCGGCGGACCGGTGGACGATGACGCGCCGGTCGATGAAGCCGGCGGAGCGGCGGCTGTGCTTCCCCTTCTCCCGCATGTCCCGTCCGGCTGTGTCCTGCCCGCGAACGCTGCGCTCCTTCCCCGCAGCCCCTCCCACCCCCGGTCCCTGCGACGCTGCCGCACTCCGGTCAGACGCCGTCAAGTTGTGACGTAAATAAGTGGCGGGCGTTTCCGGTTTTGGATTTCAAAATAAAGCGGTGCTTTTTTCTGAACTGTGAATCTGTTGTTCAATGCATTTAAGGTTTTGTTTTTTTCAAGAAGTGCAGAGTTCTGCTGCAACAAGTTTACACGTTTGGACAAAACTGGAATTAATGGTGGATATTAAATATCAACCCAAGCAGAAAGCAAACTCACATAGTATTCCGAATTTGGAATTCAAGATAGTCTGCATAATTTCAGTCTTTTAAAATGTGTTATGTTTTTATTTCGATGGTTAAATTGATTTTTTTCTGTCTGACTGAGAAACAATTGTCTGCTGCTGTAATGCATCACAGTCCCCCACCCCCCCCCCCACACACACACATATACACACAGACACACACACACTTCCTATTGTTGGGCTGTGTTACAATGTCACCTCAGCAGTAAAAATCCAAAACAAGTAAAAAGATAAATAAATTGCCATTTGTCTTCACCATCCAAGGAGGACTCAATTCTCGGTTCTCATGACACTCCACTTTCGATCCTCCGTGTTCTAATTTTATTAACTTTAATTAACTTTATATACATTCTAAAACACCAAAAAGGACTATTGAAACTCTTACCACTTACCTTCCATAGTGATCAACTCTCTTCTGATATCTCCAAAGTTATTTCTATTTTTCTAGAGCTCCGATAAACATCCACGGGATGAAAAGTAAATCCAGAGAGAGGTGAGGACCATCAACTGGTCCTTTCCTCGAGAATGTCGCCCTCTCTTCACCCCGCGCGCGGACTCACACCAACATGCGCGTTTTTCCACAGTTGCGCAACAAAACTTCTGAAGAAGAAAAAAGTGCACGTCGCTGGGGGGCAGAAAGAGCGCAAGTCAAAGCCAACTGCTCTGGGCGGTCGCAGCGGGGGTTAATTCCTCTAGCAGCTCATCACCCCCCCGGGATTTAAAGAGAGAAAGTCCTCGCTGCGCCCTTTGGCTCACCAGCGTCCACAAAAAAAAAAAAACCCGGCTGAAGGGAGCCAACCCGCGGCGCGGGGAGCAGTCAGCTGACGCGTCCTTTGAGCAAATGCTTGGGAAACCTCCGGAGAGGAGAGGAGGACTCTCACTTGCACATTCCTCTGCATGTGCAAGTGAGAGTGCGGCTGAAGTGATGATGAAATAACCACCATCGTTTTGCAATTGTTGCATATTTTTTGATTCCCATGCAACACTTGTGTTTCCTTCTCCATGTTGCACGTGAAAAACTTGCACAAGAATAGCTACATTTTAGAACATTTAGGCGTTTACACAACACCGACTGTAGTTTTACCCTCTTAAGCCAGTGAACGCAATACCATATGACAGATGGAAGAGCACAGCAAGGAGGTAATTAGTAGCTACAGTAGTAGTCTACAGGAAGCGTGTGAGCATGTGATTGCACAGACACGTCGCACACACATACACACACACAACCAGAGACCAGGATTGTCCCTCACACCCACAACTTAATAGGATAGAAAGGATTAAACAGAGATGTGGACAGTCTTTACTTTCTAACTCCATCACACACACACACACACACACACACACACACACGAAGGCGCACAGGCCTGGGAGCAATAGCTCTACTGAAGCTGGTGCTAGTGAAGTCGCTACAAAGCTGATGAATAAGCTTCGTGGAGTTGATGAGCCCGTGGGGGCTCTTATGTATAATGATTCCCGCCTGGCGGTGAAAAACACGTTGAACCACAGATCGACCAGCGAGGACCTTCGTCACGACGCTGCAGCCTCAGACTCATCTTTCCTCACCTGATGCGCTGCGTGTCTGTTTTCGTAACGGGATCACCTGACATAGAAGCTCCACACCCGCCGCCCCCTTCCACCCCGTCGCTGCCCCCCAATACCGGTCCCCTAAACAGCCCATGAGCGAGCTCATCAATTTTACAGGCCTGTTGGCTACGTGGTTCCAAAACAAAGGGCAGGCGACCGAAGTGAGCAGCCTGAAAACAAAGCGACTCGTTCTGCAAACTGCCGGTGGTCCTCGGGGGGGCCGCCGTGCTGCAGCCGCCATGCTGTTAGGACATCGTTACCGACATGCCGTTTATTAAGGTTTACACACAGCGAGACGCGATGGATTCGTGGAATGCATGCAGGCCTTTTCAAAGTCTGTCGACTGAACAAAAACACAGTGTGAGTCACGTCCACCTTGTTTTCACGGTTTCACTAGAAGTCCTTCAGAGAGTTTGCCAGCGGACGACACTTCACATCTCTGACAATCACGCCGTTCGAGGTTGGGGGACGTGCACCAAGTTAAAAATAACACAAGTTGGTTTTCAAGTTGCAGTGAAAATAACTTGAAACTGCCAGAAACTGAAAACCAGATTCAAGGCTAAAACAGGATTTCTTGTACGAATTGAAACAGTTGAGAATTCATTCTTTGTGTGATGATGGGCGGCTGACAGCAAATAAAAGTGTAATACCTACTATCTGACCTTCTTATTGGCTATTTTCAACAGTTCATGAACTGCATAATAACCTTCAATGATCTGTGAAAAAGACTCCTCGTTGAGGTTTTCTGCCTTATTGGCCCAGACTGTGAGGTGTAAATACACATAGTGAAATATTAAAATGTTAATGATAAATGTCACAACATGGCACACAGTCTAAAGTGTATGCAAATCATGTGGTGTATTGATATTATTTGTAACCATAAAGTCACACCGGCGGTTTGCAAGCATCGACTGATGTCATTTTAGTACTAAATGAGTGAAACATAAGAGGACGAAGCTGTCACTGGAAATGTCTTCACGTACCTTCATCGTCGGACATGTCGAGGAACTCATTCATGGTCTCTGGGACGTTGATTTTGTGTTTTTCCGATGTGCTCTGTAAATGTTTGAAAAGAAGGTCAGCTGAACACTTTTCACGAAACATTTCTTCTGAAAAACACGTATGCGCTGATCCCTCAAACATTAAACCTGTGAGGTCTGAGTTATCATGTACATGTTGTAGTATATAATAAACCAGATAATCATCTGAGTTTCCCTTTACATGCATTTGACCATTTTGAAAATGTTATATCGCCTGAAACTTAACTAAACATTCTGGAGACAACTGTAGTCAATCAATGACAAGTTCAGCATTTACATTCCAACCAAAGTGTGACCTTCACATATGTTTCCTAATATGGACATTAATCTGAATCTCAGCCGTGGCCTCTGCCACGGTGAGAAGTAATAATACTCTTTGTCTGAAGGCCATTTCCCTCCACATAGCTGACCGGGCTGCAGAAGAAAAACAACAGCAGAGGCCTCACAGTGAATAATTGATCAATCCCGCAAAGGTGTAAGGAACCGACCTTGATCTTTAGAGTTACTTAACCGTGCACAGTTATGTTTAATACACTTTGCTGCTGATTGTGCAGGATCCGCAGTGACCTCTTCGTCCCCTCGCTGTCATCCCTCTGCCTCAGTTTCTCTCCCACTTTCTCCCCCTCACCCCCGTCTTTCTCCCAGACACGTGTGTGGATCAGATCACTGTTGGTGACCTTAGCTATTTGAGGAGAAACCTTAAGCTCCCATCTAAGCCCTTTTCTCGCTCTCTTAATGAGGACAGCTTCACACATGTGACATGGCATGAGTTACTGTCTTCCTTGCCGGCCGGTCGGCAGGTTTTACTCACTGACCGCGTTCACAGTTTGTGGCCGGATGGCTGGTCAGCTTTCAATTCATGAGCATATCAAAAAGTTTAAGAAAAAAACCCTCAACACAACAAACCGAAGTGCCAAGATTGATAACTCTTGTAATGATAGTTTCCAGTTGATTTGAATACAGTTTAGAATTGAAATCCGTTGCTGAATAAAGAAGATAGAATGAGTAAATATGGAAAGTATGAAATCCTAAATTTGTTAAAACGAGGATGAATGAAGATGCAGAGTTATTTTTTTAACGTGTTTTCGGAGCAGTAAAACTATTTGAATCAACCTCAATGTCACCTGGCACATTGCATTACGCTGCCTCTTGCATTCATCTCATTCTCCAAATCATAAACTTAGATTAGCACAAACTCTGTTGGTGATGTGATACAACTTGGGTGCATTCAATCGCGTGAGGTGCCGAGAGACGAGCGCCTCACCATGGTCGTCAGGTTTTCGTCCGTCACGGGCCTCAGGGTGTCCACCACAGAGATGTATCCGAGGCGACGGGCGATCGACAGGGCAGTGTTCCCATTCTGACCAGTGAGAGAGCAACAGGAAGTTATTCACACAAAAGAGCATTCAGCACTTCATCGCGCTTCAGCTCTGCTTGAGCGTGCGTGTGTGTGTGCGTGTGCTTTCTGTGTGTTTGTGCACTGACCACGGTGAGCTCGTTGGCCGAGGCGCCGCGCTGAAGCAGCAGGTTGACGATGTGGGTGTGGCCCTGCTGAGCCGCCTGGTGTAGAGGAGTGTACCCGTTCTGGACAGAGACACACAAACACACAGTAGTCAGGGCCACAAAGAGAGGAGGTGCTCAAATTGAATGAAATCTGAATTGTGAATCTACACAAAAACTACTGTGCATGTGGGTGGGTTTTTCTTTTACCTTGGTTTTGCCATTGGCTCTGGCTTGGTTCTGCAGCAGGAAGTTTGCCATCTTTGCGTTGCCGTAGTGACAGGCCACGTGCAGCGGAGTGTAACCCATCTGCACGAGGAAGGACACAGACATGAAAGGCGAGGAGGTGAAAAGGGGAGGAAAACACAGTTACACATGCCGACTGGGGGCCTCTTCTTGTTACATCACAGTTTCTCCAAAAACTATTCATCTGCCTGGGTCGAAAGAATTTTGAATTCTTGTGCAAGAGAACAATTTTTAGCATGACATCTCTGACTGTACACGTAACTTTGAAACTGCATCGTATTTCACGCCATCGTTGAATTATGAGTACAGCGCATAATGCTAATGGATGAGATCAGTGCGTGGATAACCTATTTGCTGTAAACAAGTGTCCTGTCAGCAGAATACACACACACATACTACATAACCTTGTGTTAGTCCAACCTTCCACTGCTGCAGGTTTGTCTCTCAGTAAACGTGAGCGGCCTGTTATGGGGCCTGTGTGTGTGTGTGTGTGAGAGAGTGAATGTAACTGGCGTGTGTGTGTGTGTGTGTGTGTGACTGAACAGAAGAGCATATACGTGCTCATGTGCATGAGTATTTTTGCTGCAGCGTGTCCCAATGAAGACATGAACACCTTCCACTCAGGTATCAATCCTTTATTCATGCATCACCTGAGATGATTGGGGACGACTGTATGTGTGTGTGTGTGTGTGTGTGTGTGTGTGTGTGTGTGTGTGTGTGTGTGTGTGTGCGTGTGAATGTTTTTCAGATGCCATGACTAGACTAAAACCATAAAAGGAAAGTCCACTTCAAAGAGAGAGACAAAGACAATCAATGATGTGTGTAAATGAAACGTCATGCCTGCAACTGTAAAAGCTAATTTGAAAACCCTTTTCTGTTTGGGTATTTACAGTGTGTGTGTGTGTGTGTGCTGAGAAAGCTTTACCTTTGTCTGCGGGTTGACATCAGCCCCGTGGTTGAGAAGGACTTCTGCCACATTGACCTTGTCCTCCTGCGCCGCCAGATGCAGTGGTGTGAGTCCGCTCTGGGTTTGAGGATAAAAACCACTTTGTGAACACGCAAATAACTGTGTCCTGGTGCACAGCGCATGAGAGTCTCTCTCGGTAAACCAGACGCTGCAAGCCAGTGGTCGTCGACATGTTGTCTCTCTCTACATTTTAAGGGTCAGAGTTAGCACGACTGTCTCGTAGCTGGTCGACGTCCGTCTCTGACCTTTACCTTATTGCACATGTTGACGTTAGCGTTCTTGGTCAGCAGCAGGGACACCAGGTCCACGCTGCCCTCCTGGGCCGCCAGGTGAATGGGGCTGATGCCTTGCCGCGTCACTGCGTTGGTGTCGGCGCCGTACTCCAGCAGTGTGGTCCCGATGTCCATTTGGTTCTTTTTGGCAGCGATGTGGAGCGGCGTGTAGCCGTTCTGAGGCGGGTCAGAGAGACGCGGCGGTTGGGACGCTTGATTCTGCTCTTCTTCTACTTTAATGGGTTATTTCATCTATTGTATTGTTTAAATTGCCTTGTTGTACACAATGTAGCTTAAAACGGGGATTTCCTCTTATAATGCATTTCATTCCATTCTAAATCAAAAATGGCATTGATAACTCGTACATTGTAAACTAAAGTGTAACCAAGGTTTTTAGAAAAGACTACTTTCTAAAATAATTTTCATTACATACAGAACATTTGAAATAACCACAGTGCAGATAAGAGACAGATTCTTTCTGCACTGAAGGAACCAGATTATGAATCAAGATTCGGATTTGAAGCACAGAATAATGCCAAAGAAATGGATGAAAGGTCAGCAGCACAAATCAGTAAGTCATAAGGTGGAATCAATCTCGACCTTCATTCATTCCTGACCCCACGTCTACGCTGACGCTCTCGGCTGGCGACGGATGGGAATAAATAATGCACTTTATATTCCACTCACTGGGCAACGCTGAAGTCCAACCGGGATGGAGTGATTTTAGCTTGAATGGAGAGGCTGTAAAAAGCCCCGGCTGAGTGAGTGAGGGAAACTTTACTGCCATCACCGCTACCAGTGTGTGAACACGCACGCCTCCAACCGGAGTGTGTAGACGCTGCTAGACAATTCCTAGTGAACAAAGGTTTGATCGCTTTCCAAAAGCCCTCAAATTTGACCGAGCGCACCAGCTTCAGCACAAAGCCGAATGAAAACCCAATTCACACGGGGAGAAACTGATGACTAAGAGTGGGGGATGGAGGAGGGAGTAAAAAGAGACGGGGAGAGAGAGAGAGAGAGACGGTGACAAAAGGGGAGGACAGAGAGGAGGGATGAATTAGCTTTACAAGCTTTTGATTCCTCTTGCAGTTGACAGTCCGGACCAAATCAGACTCTCCCTCCCATATTTCGGTTGGCACCATCTGTCATTCTGTTGTTACTCGTTCGGTGCTTCTGACAGACTTCCAAAGCAGAGCGGGAGAAACCGTCCGCGACTCGACCGCATGCGACCGACGACAAATTGACGGAAAACTAAATTCAGACAAAAGGGTGGTTTGAAGTTGAGAAAGACTTCATTTTACCAGGTGTATAACACACTACCAGCCCGTTCGCACCGGCTCTCTTGTTTCATGGGAATCATGGAAATAAAGCGGCGTGCGTGTCCATTCCGAGATATTTCCGACTTTGCTGAGCTCAGATAAAAAGCTGCACATTCGCTCACAGCGCCAGAGACCAGACAAGATGGAATGGGAGAAGATGGGCGGATGATCTTCTCACGCTGCACACAGAGGGTCTGAGATGAGATTATCGAGGGTCTGAGATGGAGTCAGATGAGGCCATTGCCATGTGCGTGTGTGTGTGTGTGTGTTACCTTGGCGGCAGCATGTGGGGAAGCTCCCTGATCCAGCAGCAGCAGAGCCACTCTCTGATTATCGTAGTGAGCGGCCACATGCAGCGGAGTTAGCCCACTCTAAAACATCCACACACGCACAGGCATGCAACACATCAAACAGGGTTAGAAGTCCACTGGCACGGCCATAAGTAACATGAAAGCACCTAAGCAACGGAATTTAAAGTAAAAAGGTAGTTAGTGCAGGAGGAAGCTTGCTGTAATCTGGAAGCAGCAGCTAGGGGGAGCATGTCTCCACTGGCTTGAGAAATGGATGTCCAAATTGACCCCTTTTCCTCCAATTTGAAATGATAGGATTAAGTAGGATCATTTTGTCAACACGTCTCAAGGCAGAACCAGAGGTATCATCCTTTTTTAAAAATTTATATTCCAGTCGTTCTTCCTTGTGGAGATGTGGCACATACGTTCCCCGCAATGCAACTCGAGGGCTGCTGGCAGTGGAGTCAGAGACCCAAGGTTGTGACGCCAGCAGAGGCCGATGTAGTCACGGGCGACCGTCTTCCGAGCGATGACGCAGAGCGGGGGGGGTGTCTAGCAACAGCAGCAGGTCCTGATTTAAGATACGATGCATGTGCACTCTGAGCCACGACCAGAGTGTTGCATCCCCACAGATATCAACTTCCATCTCAGGATGCTTCCTGAATCATGTCGAACAAGCGATCGGGTTTCCTCAGAAAAGGTGAGCGGCATCTAATGTATCTTGATGATCTCCCATGCTGCTGTGCAGTGTGTTGTTTCAAATGTCCCAGAGACGTGGGAGACTTTTTAAATGTGTTTCTTACACATCTCTAAAGAAAGTGAGTGTAATTGTTATTTTTTTGGGGCTTTTGTGTTCAGACTCAGTATTAAAATTGGGCAGATTTTAGCAAGACCCCACCGGGCATTTGTGGAAGCTTCATTATCATACCTGACAGCCATTATGTTAAATGCTCTCAGATGGCGGCACATCAGTGCCAGTAGGCCTACGCTAAGTAAATGCATTCAATATGTGCGGGTGTGTGCGTTTCTACAAGGGGGCATGTTGAGGTTGAATCATCGAGGGAATAAAAGCAAATCGGCACAGATGGACTGTGCATCAGGACAAGCATCGGTCAGCTGTGCTGTCCTGGGATCAGTCCTACATACATGCGGCTCCTCCACCCGACACCTTGTTGTCATTTGGCTGTAATAAAAATATAAAAATCGCACACGACGCCTCTCCTCTCTTCTAAAGACGTCTCACCTTTCCAGCAGCATCCGGCGCAGCTCTCTTCTGTAGGAGCAGACTGGCGACCTCCATCTTGCCGTACTTTGCTGCCACGTGCAGGGGACTGAACCCTTTCTGCTGAACACAGAATGAAATAGGTCAACAAAGTGAAGCAGGGTGGAGAGATGGAGAGGATAGAGAGGGCAGTCACACAGGAAGAGAATATTTACTTTGTTTGGGTTCAGCCTTTTTCTGGCCATGGTCAAGCTTTTCCTCATAACAGCAGAGTTTCTCGCATGGTTGTAAATATCTTATCTGGGTGGTTAAGTTCAGTGTTCATGTTGGGTTAAAAACCATAGAGGATTTGAAAAACGATGAGCTGACTGAAATTTCTTTCTTAAATTGACAAAATGTGTTTCAAAACACAATTAGTTACCCTGTTCCTGCATGAATGTTTTTTCTTTGAATGACTTGAATGAGATCAGACATTCAAGTGTTGTTGACCTAACCTAAATTAGGTCCAAATAGATTTTGAACTATTATAAATTAATTGAATCACCTACATTAAAGGTTTCTATGACCTCCAAATGAGTATAATCTGTGCATGACTGATTTAGTTTGTGATTTTACATGTGATCATGTTAATCTTGGCTTTCTTCTCGTGTGAGCGTGGAGATATTTTAAGACATTATGTCATATTTTCCTGAGGAATGTGACTCCCAAGGATTCCACGCTCTGAAACAGATGACCTCATTTGTGTGATTGGTTCATATTCTTACGGTTTATACAGTAAAAAGATAATTTCAAAAAATAAATAGTTTTAAATGTTTTCAAATGCCGGCACTTGTTTAAAAAAATCAAAAGGGTCAATTTGCGGGTCCCATCCCACAACACCTCTGTTCCAACATTTACGTGACATAGTTTTGTCGGTCAGATGACTCAAGTAAAGTCCCAGAAGACGCGCGCGTGTGTGTGTGTGTGTGTGTGTGTGTGTGTGCGCGTGTGTGTGTGTGTGTGGGACCAGGGGATTTAGCGTTCATTAATCGGTTCCACTGACAGAGGTAACCTTCAAAGACGGCCCCCAGCAACATACAATCACACGCGTGCACAGACCAATTCCATGATGTCCACCCTGAATCCCTTTTTGACCTTGATCCATGCAATTAGTCACACGTGAAATCAGCACCGCCGAAAAAACTGACATCCTCCGTCCACGTTGGGCTGCACCTTTTGCGCTTAAGCACTTAAGTGCTGTCTTACATTAGTGGGCCGGCGCTAATACGGCCACTGACCCCAATGTGAGCGCCACCGCTCACGTGCCTCGCGTACGTGACGGAACTCGACATGTTTCCGCCTCGTATCTACGCCGGCTACAGGTCTTCACCAGAGCCGAAGCTGTGGCACAATTCAAATCTCACAATTCACAATGCTGCTGGAAACCGGTGCCCACTAGTGGAGAGACACGGCACTGAACTGATGAAGCTGCTCCGTTCATCAGATGCGTGTGTGCGTGTGTGTGTGTGTGTGTGTGTGTTTGCCCGCTGCAACGCCATGACAACCCTCCATCGGACCCACCTTGGTCGAGGAGGAGAGAGAGGCTCCGTTCTCCAGCAGCATGACGGCAACGTCCTGGTGTCCTTCGCGGGCCGCCAGGTGAAGGGGGGTGTAGCCCGAGGTGGTGGCGGCGTTGGCCGAGGCGCCGCACTGCAGCAGCTGCTGGACGATGTCGACTTTCCCCAGCCGGCTGGAGATGTGCAGCGCTGTCTGGTCGTCCTGCGGGGGGGGGGAAGGAGAAAGTGAAACTCTCGCCGCCGTTTTGTTTAGCTCTGTCTCCTGAACAACGAGGCGCGGCGCTCTGACCTTGGACTTGGTCTCCACCTTGGCTCCGTTCTTGAGCAGGTATCGGACCACGTCCGCCTGACCCGCCCGGGCCGCCATGTGGAGGGACGTCTCTCCTCGCTGGAAGAAAGAACACAGGAGGGGGGGGGCTTTTCTTTAGCGATGGTTCGAGCGTTTAACAGGAAGATGTACTTCTAACGAGCGACGGAGCATTACGCCGCCTCCACTCACCACATTGGTCGTGTTGGGCGAGGCGCCGTGGTTCGTCAGCGCATGGACGATGTTCTCGTGGCCCATGAAGGCCGCCACGTGGATGGGCGTTAGGCCAGACTGGAGATAAACAAGGCCAAACAGAGACAGCGTCTTGTAAAGCAAGTCACGTGCAAAAAACAGTGCGGCTCGGAATAGTCCAAAGTCAGCGCGGGTTAAAGAAACCGCCGCTAGTGCCAAGTGGCAAGAGGCAGAGTGCAGCGGGGAAGAGTGCACAGTACCTCAGTGACGGCCTGGATAGACGCTCCATGTTTCAGCAACAGCTCCATCACTTTCACCCGGTTCTTCTTGCAGGCGATGTGAAGCGGGGTGAAACCGTTCTGCAGACAGAGGGACAGCATTTGTATGACGAACTGAATGTTTCGTTTAGTTTTAAAATACCTTTTATTCAGTTAGTTCACTTATCAAAATCACTCACATCATCTTTCTACTATATACACAGGTAATATATTATAATTAGTTCAAAATATGTTGTTTATTCTATTTCTGCTATTATTATTCTCTTTCCTTAAAATGCAACTTGTATAAAAACGTAATATTTATAATACTAATATCTATCTTGTATCTGCCTTCGTTTTTAATATTGTTGTTTCATACATGTTTTGTGTGCTGCCGCTATCTGGTCATGACGCTAACACAGCGTTAGCTTCTTCTCGTGGTTAACTCCAGTTATATATCACTTGTATACACTGGATGCCCCCCCCTACCAGAGCCTTGGCGTTGGGGTTGGCCTTCTTGTCCACGATGAGCTTGGCCACCTTGTAGTGACCACAGTGGGCGGCGACGTGCAGCGCCGTCAGGTAGTCGTTGGTGACGTCGTCCACCGGCACGTCGTTTTGGAGCAGCAGCTGGACGCAGTTCAGGTGGTCCCCCTGAGTGGCCATGTGGAGCGGCGACAGCCCGTTCTATGGTGGGGTGAGGGGGGGGGGGGGGGGTAAAAAAAAAAAAACCGAGGGGGGGGGAAAAAAAAAGAGAGGCAGACACACACCGCCAAACGACCCGTGACCAACCAAAACGGCACCGTGGGTCGGGCGCTGCACAGACGCAACCGTGAAGGAAGTTGATGATGTGTGTTGCGGGAGCATTGTTATAACGAGGCCATTACAACAATGTCTACTTTTGTTACACTGGTCGTCCCGCGCGGTCAAACCGTGGGGCTACGCGGCGGTGGGACCTTCTGGGGACGTCGCACAGGACGTTATCGAGACAACGCAACAACATTACATGCAGCAGCAGCAGCAGCAGACTGTCTCACTGGAAGGATGTCAAATGGCTCTGCGTGCAGAGGGAAGCTAGTTCATACAAACATCTGTATTAGTTACTGGCAACGTGTAGCCTGTTTCAAGTGAACAGCCAGAGAAAAACAAGAAATGCCACATGAGTTTGTTCCCTTTGGTAATCTGAGGTAAGCGGCGGCCTCCAGAGCCGAGCGTCCCAGTAGCTACCTTGGTCTTGGACAGGAAAGGAGCTCCGCGGTCCAGCAGGATCTCCACCACCTGCTCGTGCCCGCTCCTCGCCCCGCAGTGAAGAGGCGTCAGACCGTCCTGGAAGAGGAGGAGAGACGACCGAAGTGTTAATAAAGATGAAAAATGTTCAAAAGAAAATTAGTTACAAATATACTTGTATATGCTTTGTTCCACATTGAAGATTAAGTTGGGTTCCACAAGGAGGTCGCAACATAAAATCCAATTTAACTCCAACAAAAATGTCAAAATCAACAAGTACACAGTATAATCACAACAAACCCGCGACTTTTGCTTAACAAAATTCAATGCAACAAGAGTGGGGAATTGAAAAACAAACACACGATACAATTCAGGCCCTACGTGCTTCTGAATGTTATTACATTTTATGAATAGAATCGGTCTCACCTTGGTCTTTGCGTCTATTTTGGACCCTCTGTCCAGCAACAACTTGACCATATTGCTGTTGCCCCTTTTTGAGGCCACGTGAAGCGGCGTGATGTCGTTCTAAACAACAAGAGGAAACCGATGTCATACAGCGTGTATGTATAATGTATTTATTATCGACACAAAATCACACACATGGAAAGTCAACAATTAAATTAAATGTATTCTTTAGATATAAAACATGTAATGTTTTATATCGACTTGTAATATACTTAACAAGGGTACATAGTCTTTTATTATCAAGCAAACAGCTGTTAAACCGCTTGTTTGTATAATTGATCTCCTCTGCTGTAGCTCTTTAGACCTGAACCCGTAATCAGTGTCAGAAAGCAGCACAAACACAAACACTCCTTCACACACCAGCTGATATAATTACGGACCACTGTTGACTGGTATTAGCTAATGTCTAATGAAAAAAAACCCCATTGGTAATGGCACCCTTTCATGCATTACATTGTAAATGTCACAAGTAATAGTAATCCTTCCTTTGCCTATTATTATCAAACATTTCTTTAAGCAAGAAGGAAGCCTGGAGTTACGCACATATTCTAAACTGGTTTGAACTTTATTTAAAGCTCATTTTACAAATCAACGGCTTTATACCTTAAAGTGATTTAAAATTTGTTAAATCCATCCTTCAACAAAATCCCCAGAATCTGAATTTAATCCACTTTAATCACCTCATCATCCAATCTTCTCGGACAATGTAAAACTCTAAAAGACTCCATTCCTAAGGAGCATTATCTTTAAATCCCCCCCCCCTCCCCCCCTCCCCGTGTTTGACGGAGGTGTCCCATTAATAAGCAGTGAAAACCACTGTGTCACATCTGTACAGGATCATTTGAACACCTCTGCTCACCCTTTCTGCTGGTAGTACCCCTCCCAAACAGCAGAGGGCGGAGCAAACTCACCCGGGCCATGAAGTCCACAGCTGCTCCTCTGTTCAGCAGAAGGGTGGCCACGTTAATGTTGCCGTAGTGAGCCGCGATGTGGAGGGGGGTGAAACCGCTCTGAGGGTCGGAGAGAGGCGAACAACACACACACGTGCAAACAAGACAAGCACACGCGACACGTTACAAACTCTGGAATCCGCCACACAGTTAACAGACCTGGACAGTCACGGCGGCCTACGCGGGCCTACGGTTGACGCACAGACGAGGACACGCGCTGTTACGCGGGACATAACTAACACGGGGGCAGCGGTACGCTGACAACGAGGGGGGCTTTAGGTTCACTACACCACGTGGGCTTGTGCCTCCATCATCACACTGGGCAAAGTCAATTCAAACTACAGTCTGACAAATGACCCGTAATCTAGAGCATCTCGTTTACAACATCCTGATACTTTGAGGTCCTGCAAATTGACTTAATGTCCATTGGTTACCATCTTGAATTACGGTGATTTCCCAGCAAAACCCCAAACTGGCTTAGTGAGCAACAGCTGTGAAAGCAGCAGACGAGAGCACTGGAAACAATCTGTCCAGTAAGTAGTGAATCTCACTAATCCAGAGGAGAGCAGGCGTCTCGCCTCAGAAACCTCAACCGAAAAACACTGCAGCTTTGAAAAAAACTCAAAATATATTCTTAAACTCAAAAGATATCATGTTCAAGAAGTAGGTTCACCAAAAATAAAAGTGAACCACAACAATCCGTCGTATTGTACAGTCGGTCGATGGCTTTCCTTCACCGGGGGCTCTGTGTAAATACTTTCACCGCGATGCAGGAGCCTCAGATCAACAGAGACGTTTTCTGGATGAATCACATCAGATAACCGTCCAGCCGGACGCAGTGCCAACCAAAACAGGCACACACACACATTCCGAAGGTTGCTACCTGACTTTGGTGTGACGGAGAAGCGGTGGAAGGGGGGGCGAGGGAGCTTTGTCCCCGTAAGAAGCCGCGTTGAGGTAGCTTGTTGCTTTGGTCCCATGCAAAATGGTTTGGATGCAAGGGTTGGGGATTAGATTGGAACGTTCTAAAATCAATAGAGTGGCGTCCAACCGGTTAGACTAAACTACATAACCTGTCGGCAGCCCCGCGGCGTGGTCCTTTTATTGGTTACGGGGGGGGGGGGGGGGGGGCTTGGGTCGTCATGCAGGTTCTGCACAAACCGCTGCTTTTCAATGAATGATAACCACTTCTCATGCTAACGCTGGTTATCATGTTAATCGGTTTCATGGAAGGACTGTGTCAGGACACGTCAGGACCACATTTTGTCAACAGTCACGAACAAATTTGGGGAACAATTATCAGCCGACGCTTCGGGAAACCATGAAACCATTAGAATCAGCTTGATGCCCAAGCCCCCAGGCTCAGGATATTAGTGAAACATGCGCTTCTACTCTGACTTTCTCAATCACTAGAGGTATCCACTACATGGATGAATAGATGGAGAGGAAAATGAGAGTAGGAGGGGGGGGGGGGTTACAAAGGGCTGCAGAAACACTACTGCATGAAGTCAGGGTCACTGAAGTGTTTGTTTGTTTGGTTTTTCAGGAGTTTTTATGAGCTGCGATGGAGGGACTATACGTAATGTACAGAGTAGAGGTGTACCTCTGTTGTTCTATTCACCATCATCTACAGAGTCAGCCGAGAGAGGAGAGAATGGTCAGTTAGCGAGCAAAGAAACAGAAAAGGGCCTCCACCGACACGTGGTGGCGCAGCAGAGAGAGGAGAAGGAGATCAGTACAAAACAATTCATGGTAAAATAAAAAGCTTCTGTTGTTATCCATGCCTTTGAACTTGAGAACGTCATTCTCAAACCAGAAAACACACCGGCATCATCTGAAAGATTCAAGTCTTTTCTATTACATGTTGTTCTGATCAATAATGGGATTTGATAAATACGTGTAAAAAAAAGTAGCATTTAACTTACTGCCGAAAAGATATATTAATATTAGATTGGACTAAAAAACGAAGAAAAAGCAAGAAGAAAAACATAGTCAAATAGTCAAAGTCAAACAATCAAATAATCGGAGATTAAAAAAAGGCCAACTGAAATTCCAGCGCCCGGCGGCGTCGGCGTCGCCGCTCACCTTGGACTCCACATCTGCGTTGTGGTCGTTCTGCAGGAGCAGGGCCGCGGCCTTGGTGTCATCCTTGCGGGCAGCGATGTGCAGGGCAGGTAGGCGTACCTTGCCCTTTGTATCGTTCTCCAGCAGCAAGGAGACCACCTGGTCATGGCCCTGCTGGAGGGCCACCGCCAGAGGCGTGAAGCCGTCCTGCGAGGGGGAGAGAGAGAGAGAGAGAGAGAGAGAGAGAGAGAGAGAGTCACGGGCGCCGCTAAACGTTGCCGCTGACGGTGTGACTGGACGGATGGACTGAATTATCATTTCGCTGCAGGCAGAGAGGGCAGCGAGAAACTTGAAGAAATGTGCACTAAAAAAGCTAAATTGATGCAAAAAACGAGTGCAAAAGTCAAATGTTTAATAAATCTCACTGCAAACAGTGTGTTTTTGTGTGATAGTGTTATTGAGGAACAATCCAGAGATTACTTAATGTTGTCTATATTTATTATGTTGCATCAATCAATTGCAGTCTCTCTGAGTAAAAATAATCATCTAGATACTTTAAAAAGGCAACGTGTAGGATAGTAAATCAAACAGATTACCGTTCTCTTTGTGTGTATCCTCAAGCCTCCTCACCACATAGGACACTAATATAAGTTACGTAATGAGATGATGGGGTGGAAAAGGCTCCCATATATCTCCTGAACACAAATATTCTCATGATGCATAATTCAGCTTCCACAGCGAAGCGTCTCTGCATACTTCAATGTGTGTGCGCTAAGTACTTGTGCACGTGCATTTGTGCGTGCATTATATATATCATATATTTTGGTTTGTGCGCACATGTGCAACGGTATGCTATGTGTATGCATGTCCTGAAGGGCGTCCCGCATTCAACCATGTAGCCCCGTAGATGTAAGCTAACAGTAGACTGTAGACGGGCCCGGGTATCCCACCAGCCCCACCAGCTATTAATCTCTGCACGTGCTTGTGTGTGCGTGTGTTTCTACGTGCGGAGACTGGTAACTATGTGCGCGCGCGCCGGCTCCACAGGCCCGTAAATCAGAGCAGTAACAGCAGCGGCAGCCGAGGAGCAGAGGACCTCATCTGTGACCCGCTCAAGGTCACGCTGCCTCCACCGCCATACACTACCAATCAATGATGCTCTGCAGTGTCCCTCATGAGGAGATGAGGAGGGAGGGGGAGAGGAGGAATGGGGCAGGCAGAGGAGGAGGAGGAGGAGGGAATGTGAGACAGAAAGGACGCAGAGACACGGAGGCCAGTGGAGACAGACGGGCAGATGCAGAGCGAAGGGGGGGAGAGAGAGGAGAGGAGATGAAGGTGGTTAGTACAACAGATGTGAATGTCCATACATGACTGACAGTACAGGAAGGTGGACACAGGACTGGCACACATCCACACACAATAAGGCACACGCATACAGTACCTCGGTGGCCATACTCTGGCTGGCGCTGTGCTCCAGAAGGAACCGCACCACCTCCAGGTGGTTTTCCTGGGACGCCATGTACAGAGGAGTGAAGCCATTCTGCGCACAACACACACCAGATGACACAATGTGCATTTACATCCAGGCTGCGTTCAGGAGACAGGAGTGTCCTGGTTTCTGCTCTACCCACGCCTTGTTGTATTGCACACAACTGTAAAATGTCTCACTTGTACCATCAAACCACATAAACGTAATAAAAATTAAAAAAACAACCTGAAGGGTGATTCACGAAACCCTGAAAACAAATAAAATATCGCGGTAAAGTGAGAAAGATTTCTGCGCTACTGCAACGCCTCTATTGGCTGTTTCGGGGTCTGAGAGAGTGAGAGAGGTGGTGCTCGTAGTCTTTCTATTCACCTTGATCTGATGGTGTCATTTCAGACGCAAGGACATGGGTTTCCTGGTGGTGCGCAGGCCCAGTCGGCGCGGTGCCAGATGGTGTCTTTCCACTGAGTGATTCCCCTCCGTGTCATTGACTCCACGGTACCATATCGCACCAAATGTGTGCAGTGTAATTACATTTAAGTCTCTCTAGGTCCTAAATGCAAACGGGTACCTCACCTGTGTGTGTGTGTGTGTGTGTGTGTTGAGCGTATCCCACCTGTGATTGTGCGTTGACATTGGCTCCGTTAGTGACCAGCTCTTTGACGACTTCCGTCTGTCCGGCCAGCGAGGCTATGTGCAGAGCAGTGTTTCCTTTCTGGATCACATGGAACAGCCAAAGGAATGTGTGTTAAGCTCTTCCCCCACCTGTCCAACCGTACAGCACGTCTGTGTGTGTGTGTGTGTGTGTGCGCGCGTGTGTTTGTCACCGAGGTCAGTCTCCATGCGCACCAGCGAATCCCCCTCCCACGTCAGCAACACTTTTGTACAGCTGGCATTCCAGCTCTGGTATCCCCCTACCTGCTCTGCCAAAAATGTGTCACTTCCGATGCTCGGTGTTCCACACATGAACAGGCTCCCCTTCAGCCTCGGGCCATAAATAAAACTACAGGAGGCGTTTTATCAACTGGCACGCGGGTCCTTGTGAAGGCAGATTTGACCCCTCGGCCATTCTGGAGGCCGCGTGGCGACCGGCCTTTGTTATTTCCAACAAGTGCTGTTACAGAATGAGTGATCTCCTGTCACACGCACTGCGCACTGCAGCAAGGAAGCCAGAGCGCAGGCAAATTAATAACAGGACCCAAAGGCCGGTAGGTAAATAATGTAGAAGATGAGAGGGTTTAAGCTGTGCCGAGTCTCAAGGCTTCGCCGTAATACAGAAGAGTGTAAGCAATTATTGTTATTAGTTCATGATCTGAACTATAACTGAAGTGAATTATTTTATTTAGTCACTAATTAAGTGTTTTTATTGATACAGATTTTTAATTAATTAATTATCTGAGCCTTTAATATTAAATATGATAATGCCTACATGTTGGTCACGATGTCGTCATCTTCAGTGTAAAAAACATGCAGATTAAAACCTTTAAGAACCCACATGCTTCCGCTTTTGTTGAGAACGGTATTGATTCAACTTCCAACGACCTCTTAACAACGTCTTCCCTTGAAATTCAAAATCTGCTCACGGTAACTAAAGTATGATTTAACTTTTCAGACAGTTTGATCGGAGATTCAGGTTCAGCCTTAAGCAGAGATGAGCAGTGGGACGCAGACGTCTAGTAAAATCCCTTCTTTGTAACCCCCCCCCCCCCATCTCCGTTTACTCATTCTGAAACTATTCAGCCTCAAATCAAATCAGTATCTCTGACAGTCTCAACATTGTTAGCCTCACAAGAATGTTGTTTGTTGGGGCGCCGCCGAGGGGCTAATGAACACGGCCTCTTGTTTAACTCTCCCACAACAAGAGCAGCTCCACCTCAGAGGGGCGGATATACAATTAACTTTAGCGTTAAACACCCGCACGGCCTAAATGCTAAACCACTTTGTGTTCCTGAACCTATAGGTATCCCGCATAGCGCCGGCCCCCCTAATAAAAAGGATCAAAAGAGTGACTAACAGGCGTTGGGATGCAGGCGGTGGATTCCCAAGATCTCAAACTAATCCCGCAGCATCCTCGGGGTCACAACAGCGAGATGCTTTAATCGGGGGCAGATTTTCTTCCTTGATCTTGAATATTTCATTGCGTCCCCTGTGCATGTCAGCACTAGGCAAGAGGCCCGTGGCAGAGGGGCTGCACCAGGCGTCTGGATGGGAGCTCAAATCTAAATTGTTTTCAGGGACGTTCCATCTCAACTCCTTGTGGTAGTAAAGATGCTTCAGAGAATGCTGAATAATACTGTATTACTGCACATGAAATATAACACTTCTGCTGCTTTTGTCTTCGTTGTTCTTTATTAGATACATTACACAGGCTGCACACCAGGCTTGGGATGTGAAAAAGTGCAGGTCGGACCTTCCTTTTTTTAAAGCATTTTTTCACTTTGTGTAAGGTTTCATCGATTGCTTGTGTCTTGGGATGTTGAACTCCTCTCTCTGTTGATGGTGTTGTGCTAATTGCTGTAGATCCTCTGCAGATATTTGCTCAGCTCAGATACTTGTCATAGATCAGTGTGTCGCGCGTTTGTTCCCCCAACAGATGCTCTGGGACGCATTTAGATGGTCGGCGCGTAACTATGAACTTTTGACTTCCGACTCGCCGTGGATCGCGGTGCGCAGCCACGTTTTGTTCTGGGTTCCAGGCACGACCCTACGTAACATCACCTGAGCTACAACAAGTGAAGGAGGGGGGGCTTACCTTTGTGGCTGAATCCACATCTGCTTCCAGCTTCAGCAGCTCGGCCACAACCTCCACGTGCCCCTCCTTAGAGGCCAGGTGGAGAGCGTTTAGACCATTCTGAGAAAGAAACACATTGGGTGGAGTCTGTGCAGCTCTTGTAAAAGGATTTACTATGAGACAGTGTTACTGTGAACTAAGAGGACGATCGAATATTTCATCTAGAGGGTGAGAATGCCCTTTTCCGTTTAAGCCCCTGAGCCTGCAATTGCAGATTTGGCCTATGCAGCGGTGTGGTGATGCATGAGTGTGGAAGATAATAAAGTGGGTGCAAAATATTTTTTCTAGTTTTGTCTTTGCACTGTTTGTTCAAAAACATGTTCATATGTGTTTTGAATGAATGCAAAAGCTGTCAAGAAAAAACAGCTTTGTTCAGGTTGGTAAATAAAGAGTAGAACACGTTATTTCACAATGATGACTTTTGTGTGAATTTGGACCGAGTGTACACGTATGTGGACATCATTTTTCTCAAAAACTACATCATGTCAAACGATGATGCTTAGTTTGTATACTAATCAGGTCCCAATAAGCCCAAATAGCAAAGACAAATTAAAAATGCACACCAAATAAGAGCTTGGGTCTTAGGAGGTTAAACCCAGACACTCACAAGCAGCATTCTAGTTTCGCGATGAGCGAAAAACATACCTGATTGCAAATGTTGATCTCAACTCCGCCCTTGACGTAGTCAAGGACCTTTTCTAGGTTTCCCGCCCGGGCAGCTCGCAAGTAACTGGCATTGTTGTCGGACTGGGGAGGAGAAAGCAGAGAGAGACGAGGATGTGAGTGACTTTGGCATCGCGCTGATCTGCTCCACACGGCTCACTATTGGGCGTACAGGTATTACCAGGTAAAACTCTGTCATAGTTTCTCAGGCGTCCACAAAATAGAAAACGAGCCAAGATCTGTGCACACGGCATGTCCGTCATTCCATTAAAAACAATGTGTTAAAGTCCACGGGCGTTTCAAATTAACACCAAAACATCTTAAAAAGGAAATCTGTGAAAAAGGGAGCAAAAAGCGAACAATCCCAAACAATTTATGTCATCCGGCGTCGGATCCCACCGAGCTGTTATTTCAGCTTTGTTCAATCCAAATGTCTCGGATTCCCAAAGGTAGGAAGTTCAGCGACCGGGTGGTCCCTGCAGACAAAGACCTCCTCTCTCCCACACAGATCTCGCTCCGAAATCCACCAGCAGAGTCAAGTCAAATGTCGCCGTGCTACCAGAAAGAGAGCCTTCTCTATTCTGCTTCAATGTCCTTTATTTCACTACCGAAATAGGGCTTCGCACACCAACAAAATATGATGAGGCAAGCATGTTTTTTGCCCCTATAACAAATGTGATGTGTGTGTGTGTGTGAGAGAGAGAGAGAGAGAGGGAGAGAGGGAGAGGGAAGTGGGAAGGGAGGGAGGGGGGAGGATAAGAGCAGACAAGGAGATGGAGAAAGCTCAAAGGAGAGAATAAGAAGAGAGAGAGTTTGTGTTTCTCTCTTCTGTATTCATGTTCCCTCCGAGGACATTCGGTTTGACATAAAGTGACACACGGCAAACTCTGCACATTTCGCCTCGCGCCCTCCTGGCGGCAGCCCTCGCAGAGAGCATTTCTCTTTCTTTTTTTGCTTCCTAAAACGCGGCACTTGGAGCTGCCGAGAGGACGAGGGAGAGAAGCTGTGACATGCCGCTTCATAACAGAGGCTCAAAAAAAACAAAAACAAATTCCCCTGAATTATCAAAAGCCCCAGACCTGCTAAATTTAGCCCGTGTGTCCGGTGACACTGAGGATAAACTCAGCGGGGACGAGCGGTGCGCCCCGTTATCCAATAATGGTACCCCCCCCCGCCTCCTCCCCCCCCCCCGCCCTGCTTTTCCAGAAATAACTCTGACGGACATAGAGGGATCTGACCCAAAGCCAAAGTGTGAGTGAACAAGCCACCCGGCATCCGATTGGTCGGCCGATAAGCCGCGGTAAACTGTGAGAGGAAAATACTTGTGTCCGCGTGTGCTCACGCACAAACAAAATAATGGCAGATGAAACAAGGTCAACTGGAAGTCATTCCCTGAGTACAAGAAACCATTGAGCCCGAAGCTCATATCAGTGCACATCTAGAGACGTTTTCTTCCTTGTTCCCAAACCGCCAACCCCCGGGAGGACAGTGGGACGCCACTGCACCACTTATTGACCTTTGTGTTCTTTCTTTGTGTTCTGTTCTTCTGGCCCGAATCGACACGAGCACCAGATTGCGCCGTGTTTCCGTTTTTGTGGACGTCCACCCCACCGGAAGATCAACAGCAAACCAGCTGGAATCTCCTCATCTGAATGGGGGGTTAATTCTACATCGACATTTTGCATTTCTACTCCACCACAAGTCAGTCATGGACACCGAGAATCAGCGTCCTTCCCCGTGACCTCTGAGACACTGGCTCCCCTCCAGTTTAAAACCCAGCCAGCACCTCGACACTATAATAAGTTTCCTGCACGTATTATATGTATACAACGTTTTATCTTTTTCGTTTTCTCCTTTTTCTGTGTGTTCTCCTAATTTCCTGGATGTTTTAAGATAGTTTCAAAAGACGATAAAGGAAGACATCCCTTTTCTGTTTGAATGTACTGTGTATATGTTTTTTTTATTTTTTTAACTGGTTTCAACAGTATTGTTTTAAATGATTTTCTTTAAACCAATCACAATCATGTTGGGCGGAGCTAAGCACGGCATGCGACGGCAGTGGTCTTTCAAAATCTATCTATCACAGATAGCGAAAGGCTACATGGCGCTCATTGCAGATATGATTAGAAATAGACACAACGCATGTGTAAAAACATGAAATTCTAAACGTCTTTTTAAATTGTGTATGTCAGGTCATGATTTATGAGTCTTTCAAACAGCACACAGTTGTCATTGCTTCTCTTTCTGCATCGGGCCAAGCAGAATTGCCAACAGATTAAGTAGTCTTCATCCATAAATCACTATTCATCGCCCTCGTCGGTTTATCCCTTAATGCCCGCAGTGAAGAGCAGACATGTCCAACCCTCCATACATCATATCCCAGCCATGTCCAAAATGAGGCATCTTAAAGTCTTTGGGACCGAAGCACTACGCCGGACGGGGCAAGAGATTAGTAAAAGAAATATCATTATGCCTCCACAGATCAGAGGTTCAGAGAAAATGGGGCCGTTAAAGACTAGGTTAAGCCTGAAGGAAAGCATTAATATAATGTTAGATAGAAGGGAGATGCTGAGAGAGAGAGAGAGAGAGAGAGAGAGAGAGAGAGAGAGAAAGGAATTTAACGTGATAACTGGAAAAGTAGAGAGTTTTTCATTCCTAATTATAGTCTTACATTGACAAAAATGAAGCTAATTTTTGTGTGAGTTGCTGTTAAAATGAAAATGAACCATCTCGAATGCCCTGTGGTCACTGACGTGTGTGTGCACATTCTCTTTAAACACTACATAACAGTGTCGCCTTGGTATTGACAGTTGGAGGTCATATGTGGGTTTGGTCAGATTACTGCACATCTATTTGTTATTAAGGGTCAGACGTCGCAATCCGAATCTTTAAAGCAGAACAACCCACTCAAACTCAACCTGGGAACCCTGTGATAAAGCCCAGCCTGTATGTGAGAGGCAGGTACCAACATCCATATCTGAAGGCTCAAAATATCCCCTGAAGGGACTCGTACATGTTTAAAAGAGTTGTTACAACAATGCTGACCTATGAACTAAAAATACATTTGCAATTTATGTTGCTTATTGTCTGACACAGAACTCTGATCCAACCCTCTTCTGCCATTGTATCACATGTTTTACACAAATGTTTTGTCAAAATGCAATTTAAACACTTCCGTCTTATCAATGGTGGCCAATTAACATACTTAATAAGAGATAAAGAGTAAGTGAATCTGTACTTCCTCTCCTCATGAAATCAACACAGTGATCGTCTACATGATGGAGGATATTTCGATGTGTAAAGACTGATATCGCCGTCACTCGTGCGTGCAACAGGACAGAAGCTTGTGCAGAATTTTGGAAGGAATCCATCAACACGCGTGAGTCTGCACACAGCTTACCACAGTGTCCACCAAAAACACATGCAATAAAAAATATGTACACACAAACAACAGACAACAGGAGCAATGTCGATGTGACTGCTGCGGGTTGAACTGACTGCTTAGAGGTGCAGAGAGAGACCGGCAGCGGCTGTATTGTTTCACTATAACCCCTTCTCTCCTGACATCACAAAACACACAGATCATCCCAGATCTGCGAGCACGGAGCCAGAGGCATCCAGTGACAAGGCCACTATACCCCTCAAGGCCAAAGGACATCACCCCACCAACCTCCACGTGAAATCCCCTTTCCCCTAACACCTCCTCCGGTTTTATCCCAAGGTTAATCATAGTCATGCTATTGATTCATTAAGACGTTCATGTAATTCTCACCAGAAAATCCTCTAAGAGGTAAGTTATCGGCAGCACAATGAATGGTCGTCTATAACCGGAGATCTTAGAGCCTCCGTGCGGTGGATGCAACACACATTCCACGAACACCACAGAGAGGAAACAAGTGGTCTAATGTGTCCTAACTGCCACAAAGAGACAGACAGAGGAGTGAAGCTAATACACTGCTCTGCTGTCTTGCTCAGGTCCACATGAAAATATTGATACCAGTCTTGTAGTCGTACATTGCATATGAAGCAGGACGGAAGGGAGACTGTTGGCTTAGCTTAGCATAAAGACTGGAAACAGCTAGCCCCAAAGTACACAAAGTCCTCACAAATGAACTAATTAGGAGTCGATCTTGTTTGTGAAATGTCTGAGAGAATCAACGTTATTCTCCAAAAGGTCAAACTATTCCTTCAAAACCCAAAATATAAAAGTTGCTCAATAATTTACACAGAACTACATGTGCAACGTGCATTCATAATGATAATGCTTCATAATAAGGGCTGACATGCTGTGCATGCTATCACCGTGCAGACAAACATTCACACACCGGAGAGCAGCAGTTTTTCCATCAGCATACACGTGAACCAGTCCTGATGAGTGACACAGGACTTCTCGTGGTTTGCTGCACTGCTGAACTCACAACATGTGTCACAGTCACGAGCCAAATCACAACACAAATCCATCCAAACAAATATATATACATACAAGTTACTCACTTGTGTTAGGAAGACAACACCCTCTTCAACAGCCATGTTCACTTTCGTGCGAGGACAAGCAAAACCTGAGCTAAGGCTGGCCGAGGAGCCGAGGAGCAGTCACCTACAGTCATAAGTCCCACTCAGAGGAAAGAGCAAGGTGCCATTGGCTCAGGTAAAAAAAAAGAAACAGCGAAAAAAAACGAAATCAAAGGACAGCAACAAATGGGAGAGGCGGAGGTAAGCGGATACAACAGCGTCCTCCCGCTGTCTGCTCGATGCCCTGCACAAGAGGGATGGTGGGAGGAGAGAAGGGAGTACGGGGTTGGGGGCGGGCGGGCGGGGCGGGAGGACCCGAGGATGTCGGGTGCAGAGCAGAGGAGGAGAGGTGGGGGGTAAGGGGCATGGGGGGGGGGGGGGTCTATCTAACTCCACGGCGGTGACTAAACAAAGCGCTGAGTGTCTCTCTGTCTTTCACGCTGCAGGAAGGACACCCCACAAATCCCATCTGCCCCCCTGCGTCTATCTCCTTTTTTTTTTGTTTTGTTTGCTTAATATGCCAACGAGGGTAAATCCCCCCCCCCCCCCCCCCCCCCAGTTGAAGCTGGCCC